GGTGGTAACAAGTCAATTTTTGCAAGTCTAAGTCAAGTTGCGAGTCAAAAACTGATAGTAACAAGTCAAGTCACACGTCCCAAAAACAGCAACTCCAGTCCGACTCAAGTCAAGTGACTCGAGTCAAAAACTCTGTGGTATATAGACCACTTTCATTTTGCCTACAACTTGTATGGGCAGCCAAAGTTTACAGAAAAATCACCCATGGTTGTTTTTTAATTTACCTCAATTTCATTCAAAATGGACATTTGTCCCATTCATTTTAAAGAGGGTTGTATTTTTGTTGAGCGTTTGGTAATATGTGCTATATTATCTGGTGTTTTGCTAGCTAATTGGAATTTTTAACACTTTGTGAATTATTTTGAATACTTTTGCACCAGAGACCAGCCATAGTTTTAGCAGCTACTTGTAGGAAAAACACAACTGTGACCCCAAACAAGCAGGCCCTATAAATGCAGCTCTTGGAAAAGTTTCAAAAGGCTAATCAAGAAAAATTGGGCAAACAATAATCAGTTAAAGGAAAGTCAGAGATCAAACAAGAAAACATGAGCAAAAGGGAGGCAACCACACACAAACACCCTACACACAATTCCTAATATTTCATTTCAGTGTAAATGCACCTGCACATTTATTTGCCACAGGGCATCATGCAGAAGTAACACTCCTTATTTTGTTTATAACCTTAAAAATATACTTTGCCTCTCAAAACATTTTACTGAGTAGTACTTTTGAGAATTTGTTGATTTGAGTAAGACTACTTTGCATGGTACTTAGACTGTCTGTCCAACATCTTGACTTCCCTCACAAATACTGGCAGGATGAAAATCGTTCCCAGAATTGCCTGAAATTTGAAAAAAAAAACAACATAAATTTGAAAGACAAAAGTACAAAAACAAAAGGAAATCTTTACAAGTGGAAATAATTCAAGAAAATATCAGGGATGCATTGCTTTGAAGTTTTGACATCTGAACGACTGAAATCCTTTCAAGAAAATTTGCACATAAAAGCAGCACACATTTCTCACACTTGGTTCAAAATTTGATAAGGCAAAATGAACTATGTGCCAAAGGAACTGTAAAACGAACGCTTCCTGTTATATTGTGGGCGCTACTCTTAAACCACGAACAATCTTTTGGCAAGTGAAGAGAACACAGTTGCTTCCAGAACCACTTACAGTTGCAGCCAAGAAGTAGAACACCGAAGGCCAACCATAATGCATCTGTAGAACTGGCACAATGACCTGTAACACAGACAAAAAAACAATACAGACATGTTCCACTGGTCTTGAGACTAGTTCAGGGGAATGGACACTAAAAATGCCCCTCGCCTTCAGCCCAGGCCGCTAAGCCATTATTCCATTCATCAAGGTGTTATATGAACATCCTAAGTGACCCCAAAGGTGCAAGCAGAGGCTAGTGTGACAACTGAATGCTGAAAGGCATTGGAGCTGTTTACCCACACAACCCTGCTACAGACATGAGAGCTGACTGGTGTGAGCTCTACACAAGAGGCATGCAAGCAGGTAAGCACACCCAGAGTGTCACACCGCACCCCCCCCCCACTCCCAAAAAAGAAATTTATGCTCAGTGAAAGATCTCCATGGTCCTCTTGCTCTCTGTTCTGATTAACACATTATTCAGTCATCCATCATTCAGGCCACAATGTTCGATCAACCCGTGTTTCTTAAAATTTTACCTGGCCTACGGCAGCACCCATTGTGCCCGTTCCATCGATGATTCCCGTTACTGTGGCGAGGGCCTCCCGGCAACCCTTAATGGCATCCTGCTGGCCCAGGTCAGCTGCTATGACGGAGCTGATGACATGGGCGACACCATTCACAAATATTCCAGCTAGTGTCAGCACTGTGGCATTCAAAATATAGCTATTGGAACAAACTGGAAGGAAAGGAGAAAAAACGGCCTTTCACTGCACCACTGCAATTTGCTGTCAGCAAAGTTTAACATTTAGCTTCTAAATGCCCACTTGTATGAACTTTGAACTTTCTGTATTTAATATGCTACATAAGTGAATTCCATTGAGGTCCATAGGAAAATTCCAATAAATTCAGGAATGTGATTTAAACTTGGAGTAATTTATAGGAAATGTTTAAAGCAACGTAAACTAGTTAGTCTTTGTAACTCCACAGGCTTAGTTGTCCAAATGACTGGTGATTACATGAAATGAAAAGAGATTCTTACAGCTATATCCAAACAGAAATCCATAGGATAGGACCAACATCGCCACAACAATTGGCGAGCGCACACCCAGGTGATCAGATATGAACCCTCCTAGAATGCCTCCTGAGTGTCAGAAAAGAAACAAATAATAACATGGTAAAGTCCTAAAGTGCACCGCCAGAGCTTACATGAAAGTACTGGATTCAGAATCGTGGGTCAGTTTTCACGAGAGTGCCAGGGTATGGGGCTGTATGGGACACACAAATCCAAATGCTAAACCTTAGCTGTCAGGACTGGAAATTTGAGGGGTGAGAGAGCCTTCATTTGAAAGTGTTTCTAGCCCGCAACAACTCCCCTCCCAACTTCTGGAGTATCATTCCCCCTCCAACAAATCACGTGGCCCTCCTACTCTGGCAGGAAATAGCAGGAAATGTCATAATTGGCCAAAAAAAAAATAAAAAAAATACAGGCTAGTCATCTCCCTCAAGTACACTGCACAAATTTCTTTTAAGAATCTGTTGTAAAAACTTACCGATAATGCCTCCAATGTCATAGAACATGGACATCTGGTCTGACACCACTTCAGTCCATAAGAAGGTGTTACTCAGGTAGTACGGAAGCCAGAAGAAAAAGGCATAGTTGACAAGCTTCAGGCAGGCATAGCACAGTGCAAACTAAGACGAGGACAGCAGAAACAATCCAAGCATGACCAGCAGGCAATATCGCATGAGAATTTGTTCCACAGTTTGCAAGAGGAATATAACAGTTGGATTCAGTGAGGAAAAAAAATAACTTTACAAATATAACCCTCGCTACAGGGCAGAATTCTCGACAGGAATACTCTGACATCTTGAAGATCAAGTTCAAGCTCACTTTGATTAAAAAGGCGGCATGCTTCACAGGCATTACATTAACTCTAACACCGGGAGGCAAGAGGGGGGACAATGAACTGATCCCAGAGTTCTGTCTGTGAGTACGATGTCAATTCAATGAATCTTAATGTACCGGTAGTGAATATTGATGAGCAGTTTGCAAGAACAATAGTGAATATTGATGAACAGTTTGCAAGACCAATAGTGAATATTGATGAACAGTTTGCAAGACCAATAGTGAATATTGATGAGCAGTTTGCAAGAAAGATGAAATGGTTCACCATTTTCCGACTGGATGTTCATAACTGATGAAAACTGGTTCCTAGGGAGAACCACACAGGAAACACAAAAGCAGCAATGCAGCACAGTCCACTATTAACACAAGACAGTCAATGTATAAAGACTTACCACTTGGAGACTGACACTTACCATGGCCACACCCGGTAGCAGCAAGGCATGGACAAACCCAATGGCTTGGGGTCTCGGACTGCCGGCATTGCTACACACATCATCATCATCATTATCATCACCAGAGGCATCTGAATCTGTGGATAAGAAGTCTGAGAGATTTGAAAGCTTACAGCTAAGAACAGGGCATCGAGTGACTCAGGCTTGCTACCGGTACCGGCTTCAGCCCTGATGATAGGCAACATTTATAGGTGAGCGATGAGAGGCATAAAAGGGACAGCGGATGGAAATCGTACCCCAAAAGGTACGATTTCAAATGGATCAAAAACTTCAACCTTCTAGCTTTAAACATCCACCATTTCAAACTGATAGATTCAATTCAACGAGTTCATGTAAACGGTTCTTAAGTCTTAACCCTGAAAGAGCCGATCTTTGACCTTCTTACAGGGAAGGAGGAGGACGCTGCACTCCATGAACAGGATTTTGACAGTTCTTCCACGAATTCTTGGAAATATGGCGTGCCTAATGTTTATTTTATTACTGCCATTTATAATTCACACTGAAGTCTTAGGTTTGTCCAGTGAAAGATGAGCACTTGCATCTAGTGCAGAGCCCAGGAGAAAGTGAAATTTTCTGCAACCCCTTTCACTGAAATTCAACGTGTCTGAATTTCAACAAATAAGTAATCAAACATTATGAAGTGGAAACCCACGAAGGCTTGTTGGCGACAAATGTGCTGTAATAATATCCCAGAAAATGATTTGGGAGAAAATACACCTTGGCACTTAGAGGGTTCACAGTTGAAAACAACTTTACCTTTCTTTAATTCAGTTTCATCCATTTCCTCAAGAGAAGCAGGTAGATCTGGAAAAAGGTAAATTCAGACAAACTGAATGATTGTTACAGCTAACTGGAAATGACCAAAAGTAGCTTTCAGTGCTTTCAATTTACAGTTTTGTAAACAGTGGCTTGAGACTACTTTGCACATCTTTAAGTCTATATTTCACAAAACAAGTTCAAGCACAGAGACTAACAACAGGTTTCTTAAACAAAGAAGAACTGTCACTGAGCTAAAAATGGGATAGGACTGGTGATGAGAAGGTCACCAGACAGTGAAAGGGGGTACTTACTCAATTCGTTAGGTGATGGGACTACGAAAAGAAGCATTACAATACCGGAAACAAAGAGGATACTTGCTGTCGTCAGGAAAGCAAACTGCAAGGATAAAGATAGACTTGTCATTATAAATTTGTTTGAAACACAAAGGTGAGACTAAGCTTCAAATCACCGGTAAATTTTCTTCGGAAGCCCACAGAATTAGAGGAAAAACAAAACAAGAATTTTTTGAAGGGGTGGTTATCAGGTTCATGTTTTGTAAATTCTTGATTCTGGAAAATCGTTTCCCTTCACTGCATGAAAATTTCTTAAGATAATGTTTAAAAACCCTAAAATCACCGATACTCTCTTTGTTGGGGGAAGAGTGATTGGATTAGACTAAATCTTGGGGCTCTTATAATCTGCTGCTAGCAAACAAGGATATTGAGCTTTTTATGTTGTACCCTGCTCAGAGCTAGAGGTTTTGCTAGGCTTAAAGAACTCTGAAAATTGTACAATGCTTTTATTTATGGCTAGTGACTAAAGACAAAACAAACCAGATCCTAAACAAAAATAAATTCAGCCCAAGGCAGACCTAAAAGGTTTAACAGTGCTTGTTTAGTTGACACGTATTGTAAGTACTTACTGCATATCCTTGATTCAGCACCAATGATGCGAGTATTGATCCTAGAATGTTGCCTACGGACTGGCAAGATGTCCACACACCAAACACGAACCCTCTGTGAGATGAGTTTTAGGAAGTGATTCACAAGATTTCATGAAGCCTTGACACAATTATTTGTGACCTGATATCACAAAATGAGTCTTAAGGCTATTCTCATTCAGTGGATGTTAGGTTAGTTTACATCAGAAAGAGTACGCAGAGTTCTTCATTTTGATGTATCACTCCGAGATTGGTACTGTAATAAAAATAGCAATCATGTACGAGAAAACAGTCGAGAGTCCCTATAGAATTATTATGCAAACTTCATTCATTGGCCTTTATCTCATCAGTAGCGCTGCCGACTTCCAACTCATTTTGTCATGTGGTCATCAGGTGACAGTTAAGAAACAAGAGCACAAAATGGCCACCAACACCCACTGCTCCAGAATCACTCCTCAAATTTAGAAGGTTTTTGATGGATTAACCCTTACCCTCCTCAATCCCTCACCTGTGGGAGGATTGAGGAGTGTTAGGGTTAAGCCAATCAGGCCCAGCAGCTGTTGACTCTAATCAAGCTCCTAGTCAGTTAGATCAAGTATTAAAAAACTTTGCTAATGAGATATCATACGTAGATTGGATTGTTGAGATAAGACAGGTAACAATACCAAAGTGGTTTACAGTTGAAGGTGCAGGTACTAACTACCAGCATGTGACAGTATTCACAACCACGGTGATAAATTGTTGGCACTTCAAGCAGTGCCAACAGCATCCTATCAGATATGATACAGTCTTAACTAATAGTTATCACTGTCAACTGTGAATTATCTGCGCTCTATCAAATACGTGCTTGTACTCAACAGGACAATCTGTAAATTCTTGTTCAGCCGGAGAGAACATGGTATATTAAGGTACTGCTTCACATCACTCATAAAAAAAATGGGTCTAATCTTGTAGGCTTGGTGATCAGGCTACTGCAACAATTCATGAATGGTCAAAATCTGGAACTATTGCCAGGGAAAGAAATTAGAGAGTATGTAAAAGGTGAATAACAAACACCAGCGATGGTAAATTTAGTACTGCGAACAATGTTTACATACCACAAGAATATCATGCAAAATGAAACCATATGTGCATATCTCCAGGCGTCATATTGTTTCAGCTGTTCAAAAAAAAAGAAAAGTGTTTGTGGTACTCACCTGGATTTTGTGAACCAGTTTCCCATAATAGCAATTAATGCTGGCCAACCGGTACCCTGAAGCAGACCATTGAGTATCCAGAAGATGATGTAGTAAGCCTTGTTGTACAGACTTATCCACTCACTCAGTGAACCAAACATGAAAATCTGGTGGGAAAAAAACCAAAAACACCCCTTATGATTTGAAGAATTTTCCACAGACACTGTGTAGCATAAAATGTACTGCTTTCTACAAGGCCTTGGAATTTGAACTGTCTATTTTTGATTTTCCAGTGTTCTCGAAGCAGTTGAGAAATAGTTTAGGAAGTTTTCTGAAAAGTGGACTCCAATCTTAGAGTGTGTGCGAGACTTTTCTAAAACAGTAACGGGCTGTTAGTGTTGGTCGTGAAGTACCAGAGTTTTCCATTCCTAAGGACAGGAGATGGGGGTATTTCGGTGGACTGGAATTGCACTGGATAAATCAACATCTGGACATGTCCTTTTTCAAACCATATTTATGTGGAAGGAAAGACAATTATTTTGGAATTCTTGAGAAAGCCAATTTGTCAAAAAGTACAGAATGACTTGTTTTGTTTAGGTCTGTCTAACAGGTACACAAATAACAGCTAAGAACCAATTCCAGTTAACTTACAGCCAGAGCAGATAAACACATTCCGCCTCCGAGAACTTTCCTCAGATCTAGCCTAAAACAGAGAGATGAAATCCCACTGAGTTGGAAAATCCTTGCAACAATTAGTCTATTAGCACTCAATGTTGCCTTGCATTATGGGAAACAAAAGGATACATGGAAGGACATTGTATATGCGTACAGTAACTCTATTAATAAAATGATCCATCAATAAAACAATGTGCTTGCTGCACTACTAACCCCAAATTATTAACCAAAATATTGGACAATTAATTACATATAAATAAATATGCATTTTTTAATTTTATTTTTACAGAGATGTGGAGTTCAATTCATTTGTCAGCTGAAAAGGATAGTCTTCAAAACAAACAAACATAGATACATGTACCTTCCATCCAGCTGCAAGTGCTCAGAAATCAATTTGTCAACACGAATCAGAGCGAGTTATTAGCTTAGTTATTGCTATAGTCTCAGGTTAGAGTTCTGTTGATCCAAGCCTTTCCATTTGTTCTCACAGGCTTCAATAGGCAGAACAGGATAATTACCAAATATCATGTCTTAATTTATACAGTTTACATCACAGTTTTGTGGGTTTTTTATCCTTATTTTCCCAGTAAAGAAAAGTTTAGTTGATGCAAAGTATAGGCAAAATGAGACAACTGTAAATAATGCGCACGAATAAATTATCCTTGAATGACAATGAAGCTGAGAATGCACAATGATGCCAATGATATTCCACAAATAAACAACAAAGCAATTAAAAATGTATACTGTAATATTCGGAATATAAGCTGCACTAAGCAAAAGCCATACCAGGCAAAAGTCTGCAAATTAAGATTTAAAGTCGGCGTATTAGCCACACTGGTGTGTAAGCCCCACAGCAGTGCCGACAATGCATAACCGCGTATAAAGTCATTACATGTGCTGCGTGCTCAATCAATAATACATATAGAATATTATGAGGCACAATTTGACGTTTACTCAACTTTCTTCATATAGACAAATCTTTTGTTGAAAAATGTCAAATCCACTTGGTTAAATAGTGGCACTATTGCCTTAATGATACTGGCTTTTGAACCTTTGTGAACAATTTAGGTACAAGCAGCAGCCTAAATTACGGTAAATACTGTCTACTTGTGAAGTACAAATATAGTTCTACGAGTACCTATCTCCAAGCACGCCACTGATGTAAAGGCCAATTGCATATGAAGCAAGGAAGACCGTATCCAGAATACCAAAGAATACTTCAGCTTCGTCAGCACTTTCAAGAAAAGGGTTAGTGTTATCAGCCTTTACCTGTAAATGTTAGGTAAGACAAAAGCAAATCTTTAATCCAATTAGGGCTGTGTCAGAAGTAGTTACTGTGGCTTGGAATAACATAGATGTCTACGAAAGCCACTGGGTAGTGGCTATGGCAATCTTCGAATATACCGATGTCAATTAAAATGTTTCTGCAGGAAATAAGCACCTTTGAGATGGCCTTTTGTGATCAGCTTTTTCATTTTTCCAACTTTCATTCTGCCATGAAGTTGTTTTGAATTGTTCGATGAGGTGAACATCAATTTGTTGTGCGATAACAGTTATCAACATTATCAAATGCAACTCAGCAGGAAATAAATCTCAACTGTACATAATCCAAGACATACAAATGTATGCACGTTGTCACGTAAAAGGACACTGACAGTTGTGTGCCTTATCCATATATCAAAGGCACTGATCTCTCCCTTAGACAAATTTAAACAAGGTTGGATATGTCTGATGCAGTCTGCAGACAGTACTGCGGTCAATCGAATGTAGTGACATCATCATACCTTGGTTTGTTTAAGTTCATCATCAAAGGCCATACAGAGAGGCAAACACTGTTGTTATCTCTGTGTGCTTATTGTCAGAAGGCGAGGCAAATATAACAAAAAAAATAAACTTTGCCAAGCAACTACGGAGGACTCATGAGTGGGGAGAGAAAAAAACGAAAAAAAGAATTCTAATTTCTTTTCATCGTGCAGGCAATTTTTTTGGGCAATTTAAATCTTTAAGTGAAAGAGCAAAGCTGCTCGTTGAACAAGTAGGCATTATCATAAGCTATAGCTGCAGAAAGCTGATGGTGAGAAGTTTACAAAAGCAAAAAGTTTCATAAAAATAGAAACATCTAGAAGCATGAGCCGACACAACTTTTTTTTTCACAGGATGTTTAATCCCCCGGTGGTTAAACTCCCATCCACTGAAGCAACAAGCAGGTTTTGATAAAAATTGCAAATTTCAAGGGCATTTTTGAATACGTCACAGATGAGCTGAGGTGGAAGTCTCACTGAATTCCACACATAACAGTACCAGCTGTTTCCATACAAGTATCACTGATCAATATGTAAATCAGGTTTCAACTCTGACAATGCCTCAATGTTCCATACAATTATTGATTATGCATTGGGGTGATTCAGAAACTACAAAGTGTTTTATTCAAATAAAATAGTGCACTACTTACACATACAAATATATTGGATCTTTGCATTGGACTCATTTACCAAATTTGCCATAGGTTTTCCTCAAGATCATGCGATTTATAAAACTGCTTTAATGAATAACCTATCTTCGGATACGGGACTATATACATGTAAATACTGAAAAATGCTTTCAGTGCTTTTACTGGCATTTATGTAGCTGCATCTAAATCATACACAAAATGAAAGAATACGCAACTTTTTAAAACTATTAATCTAAATCCCCCCATAAATGAAGAAATCTGTGTCCCCCCCACAAAAACCCTCAAAATATTGCCTACATTGCCAAACAGTTGATATGAATAATCAAACTTATAACTAAACAATTACGTGATCTGAGTAGCCTTCAGGGAGTGTTTCATTCTCATCCGGTGGTGCCCAGCTCAGTCGGACCGACGTCTTAACATTACTGAATGTCTTGCGAGCAGCATTGTAAAAACAATACCTGAAAAAAGTCACAATGGTACCAGGTCAGCTAAAGTAGCAACCATAAACTACCTGTCACCACAAGATAAGCTTCATGTTGGGCTTTTAAAGAATGACATATTTTTATTTCTGGATAACACAGAAAAACACACATTTCAGGTGGTTTGATAAAAAAAGCCAGTTGGTCCAAGCACAACTATACATAAGACTAATGGGTTAGAGTGAACTTCATCTCAAAATAAAACAATCAATGAATACCCTTTCAAAATTTTGCATAACCGAAGTGTACTGTAAAAGTAATGGTTTTCGACTTGTAGTTCATTTTGCAGTGATTGGTTACATGTGGATGGGCAATTTTCACAGGAAAAGCGAGACTGAAACTGAGCCAGTCATTGACACACTAGGTTTATGGAAAACAAAAAATCGTCATGTTTTATTTCAACAACAGAATTTAGACACAACATGACTCCATAACTGGAATCTTTTGTTTCTTCCTTGTTACCGTTGCTGTTGCTTATGTCTAAGTTCCTGGAGTTACATGTACACAATGATTTCATTGTCACAATTTAGCCTTTTCTATTCTTGTATAAAATATGTACCTCTTGTAGGCCTCTCTTCTTTAAAAAAAAATAACTGCATTGACATTTGTAGTCTTTCTGTTATAGAGCTCAATTTTCAGTGTATTTAACTGTGTTATAACTTCCTTTAAAAGCACCCCACAACTAAGTTTTACTGAGCAACTGAAAAGCTCTCAATAAAAAATAAAAAGACACAGGTAAAGAGTTTGCCAATTTTAATTAAACAACAAAAAGGAACTTGAGTGAATACCATTAAAAACATCAGCAGAAACGTTATCAAATACTTACGAAGCATAGGTGAGGATAAACGTGGCAAAGTGGTATTTGGTATAGCCACCACAACAGGTAGTAACTGTCCTCGTCATGTTTGACAACTGGCTGAAGCATGTAAACTTCAATTTAAATTGATTCCTTGTCAACCACACAAACCCCGAGAGTCCAAGAACTGCTTCACTGCATATTGACCTCTTGGAACTTCCACATCCAATGCTGCTCAGTATCCCTGTTTGACTGTGTACCGCTCCAGTTAACCGGTTCACCTGTTACTGATTGTGGGTTATAATTTAACTGAGTTGCACCTTGTTTGCTCCGTGCATATTGTTCCTGGCAATCAATATTTGCCAACATCCCACAGACAGTGTTGAATCATCACCCTCACTGGAGACGCACATATTGATTTCACAGATTTTTGAACTTGTACACACCGTGTGACAACTTCCAGTTTACTGATATCTTTTCAGGACAATAAGGGGAGCCCTCTGTTGACACTTTGACATGTTTGAAAAAAATGTGGCAGGCAAAACTGATGGTAAGGCATTATTAGCTGAAATGTTTCTTCACATAATCAGTACTTGCCTTGCACAAGTATGTATGATTTTTAAACAGCCAGTAAATACATGTACATGTAAGTCTAGCAAATGTTAATTTGAATGAAAAAAGGCACTGTTGTTGAGTGAATGCAACATCTTTCCTGGCACACGTGTAAATTTACTTATGTCATACAAACGAGGAAGGAAATAAAAATCACTGGTCAATATTCATAAGACAGACTAAAGCTGTGATTTGAAAACATTCCAACTTTTTATTGGCCAAGATCCAGAAGACAATTTCATATGCCCTTCTTTCGACCCAATTTGCAAGATGTTTCTGATGTGTTTCTAAGTTTCCTTAATTTCTTTGTGTGTGTCATTTTCTTTGTTTATTGTTTTGTTTAGCAATGAAAGGCAAGAGGAATAATCCACCATTTGACCACTTCAGACATCGCAGGATAATATATAGGCATCAACATTTCATGGCACGCTCTGTGTGCCCAACATTATCAGTTTTTATTTGGGTAAGGAATAACCCGTGCAAGTGAAGCAAATGCAGTTGCCACCAGTGCTGTGGCATACCAGTTACATGTAATAAGAACAAAACGAATAGGAGGGGAGACTGCCAATCATCAATACCAACTCGACAAGTCTGAATTGCGACCGTTGTTTTGCATAACAGCCCAAACTCCTCTGCGCCACTGTGTCTGTGACAGACATCTGACGATATGACTTCAGCATTTCAGGCACTAATCTTTCCAGTCAAAACAGAAGAGATTGGTTTGTTTTCATAGCAAATAAGCAGGCATCACATGACAACAACATCTTATGTGGAGGTCAAATTCTCATCAGTTCGTGCACTACCGGTTAAGTTATTAGGTTGTGCTGAGAACATAATCTGAGTAAGTCTAAATATTCTACAACATAATGGTATTTGGTTTAACAAAAACCTTTTGTAATATTACTTATTTGAAGACCCTCTTACTGAGTGCGAGGACCTCTCACAGTATCAATTAGGGCACTGTAACAAAGATCTCATTAAATATTCCTCTGGTACTGAGAAACAAATTCTGTTGATATGCATACACTCTGTCAAATACTTACACAATGACAAGACACGGTTTGTGAAATTTAAGAGATAGTATTTATGATATGAAGAAGAAACTACATGTAGCAGTTTCAGGGCTTTGAAAAATTGGAATAAAAACTACAAAAAGTACACTTCAACCTGAATACTTTCACAGGGTGTATTGCAATCCCTCTAAAAAGATCTCAGAGTAACTTACATATCCTGCGCATCAGATAAATAGCACTGGTTACTTTTCCAGTTGGAGTGAATCTAACCATGACTGGACAGAGAGTGTTATGGTACCATGCTGAGTGACAGCTGTTAATGAGGAGTCCTGACCACCATTCGACGCCCCTGCAAGACACACAGAAACAAAGGTCAATGCCAACTGTAGCTGATTTTCCAAAGATGCACTTGCATCAGGGAGATGCCAGTTTTAATCATTGGTTTTCACCCTTCCAGCCACGTATGTTCATAACCTTGTATGTCCAGTGTTGTCCAAGAGCTCATGAAAGGTTTTTATTTGCGAGCCCTCGGAAAACAGTGAGCACGCAGTGTAATGAATGCAAGTCAGTAAACCCATAATTACAAAAAAATTTACATGATCTGTGATCGATGACTACCATTTTTATCTATAAAACTAATTTAGTATATTTTAAATATGAAGCAGGATCCTGCAGAAAAGACTTAAGGCCATTTTGTCATTAATTTTTATTTTAGTTTATACGAGTAAGAGTGAACCAAGCTTTTTACTTCTGATGCATCACTCAGTTTGGCATCCTGATGTCAGAGGTTATCTGGGTGTAACATATTGAGACATCTAAATGATTGACACTGTGCAAAATTCTTTTAAGGGCCATGAACTTAGAAGGGGCTGTGTTAACCTGTTACTCATTTTGTCAGTTTGAGTTTCATGTGTACATATATGTCTTTCCAGGGAAAGACATATATGTTTATTCCAGGGAGTCATGGAAGCACGTTAATGAATTTCGTCAGGAGATTGCATCAAAAAAGATTCAACACAACTCAAATGAACAAATTATGTCCTAGTTTTGTCACTTTTTAAGCCAAGCCAAACAAGACAACCAGGATCCTGTGTGATCCTGGCAGGATCCTGGCACCTATTGAAAAGAGGTCAGCATTGCACTGAGCCAGGTTCGTGAACAAAAGAAAGTTATATAACACCGCACAATCTGGGCTCTTTTTACAAGGCTGCAGGCCTGGCTGAAATACTCAGGCATCAACAGATTTTGTCTGTCAGGCTAGAGTGGCCACCAGACAGTCCTTCGTTTGGATGTAAGTGTCCAGTAAATGAAGAGAGGAATTTTTAAAGAATTCTAAAAACAGAAAAAAATGATAAATATCCCACCCTAGCATCGTCAACATTGATAACTGCCACCAGCAGCAAGTGGTTAACTACACGTAATTCTCACACTTTTACCTCACATTTTGAAATTAATTGTAAAGCAGTGTTCATCTTCTGAGCTATTGTTTTAGGCTTTTGTTTTTTACACTTGACCTTTTTTCCTACCTCTCTTGGTCCTCGTGTCCAGTTTGGCGTGTCCATCTTCTACCTCTGGAGTGAAATTAGCAGTCAACTCCTTGGAGAGCTCAATCTTCTCAGATGCTTGAAGATGAAACTTGGAATGAACATCGGAGGAAGTCTTGATGGAAATATCCCCTGAAGGCAGTCCAAGAAAAGGCAAATGCGGTGACCAGAAAAGGAAGCCAAAATGTCTCAACCATGACAGGGACTTCTTCATTCATAAAATAAGTTTCTTTCTCGATGCATGGAACAACTAAAGGAAATTTGCAAAAAATAAACAGACAAAAAATAAGACCAGACAATCAAGGAAGGAAAACAATTTATAAAACTTAACTCGCCTGGAACATTCATATAAAAACCAATCAGTGCATAAGCAAATAAGACAAATAGAAAAACTTGTACATGTACATATCGCTGCTGCCTTCTGTCCACACTAGTCACCTTTTTTCTGAATATTAAATCACAGTTTCAAAGATATTATTGATGTACATGTGTTTACCTTGTCTGCAAACAATATCTACGTCCTTATGTTGGGCAAGGTAGACTGACACATCACCCCTGTCAACATCTGCCTTCAGAGATCCATCTATACTCCCTAAAATATATACACACAAACAAAATTCCCTGACTGAAAAAAATGGAACATCTATGGGGAGGATTTGATACGAGACAGTTGCTCAGGGTGGGTGAATGGATATACATGCATAAGGGAGGTTAAAGATGAAACGCTCTGAACAATTATTAATTACAAAGGAGAAAGTAGCTTTTGAGGCAGGAAACAGTTCTACCCAGTCATTTCTTTTTCCTTTCAGGGGTTGAGAAGAAAGCTGATAGGCCTCTTGATGCAGCCATCCATCTGCAAACAGTTAGCCTGGCATCACTCTCCCAACCAAGCCCTCAAGTCTGCAAAAGCCCCACTGATTTGGTCTCTAAAAAAACTTTCCCATTCCCATAAAACTCGGGAAATCTTCAAATTCACTGTTCAAAAAACCTCCTCCCATCAACAATGTGTGATTTTATGTGATGGACGCACATTGAAAATGGCAGACAACTGTTTCTGACAGACTAATTTTGCACCGGAAGTTCAAAACTCAAGAGCAGTATAAGTTGGCAAATTGAATTATGTACCCAATATGAGACAGTTCCAATCTTTGCATCTATTCTTGTACACACTCACTATGACAGTTTATTCCAACTTCTGCTTGAAAGAAGGATTCAATATTTCTGTTTTGGTTTCCAATGCACAGGAGAGATCACCGACGCCCAACACAGCCACTCTCTTACCTATTTTCACATTTCCTTCTTTGCAAGCAACTGTGACATCTCCATGAAGGTTGCCAAGATTAACAGTCCCACTTAGTGATCTAAATGAGGACTTCCTGGCATAAACATCTTTGACCAGGACTGACCCTGAACCTGCACTGACGGAGATATCCTGACCTTGTAGTCTGTCTGAAGTCACAGTCTGTATAGAGTGAGAGAAAAAAAAGATGAAAGGGAGCATTGTTGTTGACTGGAAATCAATACAAACTGAAAGAAAGACGAGACCTGAAGCTTCAGAATTTAATTTTTTGCAAGGGCTTCAGAATCTCGCTACAGTAAAATCTGGAGTCCCTATCCTACATCTATGATCTATACCTGTGTGTTGCCTCTGGGACATTAATAAATTGTCAACTCTTAATTAGGTTCCCTGTGTTTTTTGCACTTGTGTTTTTAGTGCTAAAGTTTAAGGTCTCAACTTCAAGATAATTAAAACACTTGCACATTAACTTGTGAGTCAACTTCGATTCAAAATATAGTGTTAGTCTCATGAGTGTGATGTTTGACAAATCAATACTGCATTTAATGAAAGAAAACTTGTAACTACACATTTATGTTTTTATGTTTATGTTTATATTCACTGCATTTAATACTTAACCATCCCATCACATATGTTGCATATAGTGATGATACGTGTACATGTAATTTAAAGAATATATTTTTTATCGATGTTTCATTTGAATCTTCTCCTTTTAGGCTACATTCCCTGAATTTTTAAATGTACATATATATATATTTATTGTAATGTATTTCAATTTCTAGTTTTTGTACCTTTCCTGTAAGTGGCAATTTTCTTGCTGTTGGAAACGGTTACTAAATAAATAAATAAGAACTTGGCCTGCCATTAACAAGGGTTGAATTGACCAAAGTATAAACCCTTGTTTTATTGCAACATCCAAAACACCAACATCCAAGAAGTATATACGTGTACACTGTACATATATTTGTATTATGATGTATCTGCCCTGAGCAGAAGCACCCCCTCATCATATTGAAAGAGCCATGTTAAGAGGGAGTATTCATTTTGGTGGTAACCATGTGACTGCAAGGCTTGCATTTTCGTAGTCGTTCGTGACCCAGCGATGCGCAGTAACAAAGGGGCCTTCATTGCTAGGAAAACTGCACCCTCATTTGGTCCAGCTCGGAGCCCATACTGACATATACTTACTCCAGAGTCTCCGGTTGCTATGGAAATGTTACCCTGCAACATTTTCAAACAGTTAACATCTCCACATGTACTCCTTAGCGACACTGCATCTGACTGTCAAGAGAAACATGTAGACATTTCAACACCAAAAACATGCGTAATTTTCCACATTTCTCGCATTATCTACATGTACATGTACTTACTACCTTATAAAGTTACAAGTAGAGACAGACCTGTGACCAAAACTAGTTTGATATTATTCTACCTGACACACTGATAAAACCCTTTAACCTTTACACTGGCAATTGTACAATGTAGTTGTTGCCAAAAACTTCATTTAAACAAAACTTCAAAGTCATTCATTAAAATCATTCTAAAATAAACTTTTGACTTTACTTTTTTTTCTAAGGCAGTTCTTTGGACTGGAAATACAAGGATATCTGCTGACACAAACCTTCAATTTCTTGGTGACTATATCCCCTTTGTCTGTCTGTACATCACAGCTTTGATTTTCTAGTTGCTCTATGGTAACAGATGCCTCATTGGTTGTCACTGCATTTACATCTACCGTGAGAAAAAGAAAATAAAAGCTACCATGAAAATTGAAGATTTTAAAACAATAATGAACGTCCCCATTTCAACCTGGTCTAATGCAAATTTATTACCCCTATCTTGATGACTTGATTACTTTACAAATGAGTTTGATTGAACTGAGCATGCTCTGTGAGTAAGGCCACACTGTCCCAGTTTACACTGAACAGGTTCACTAAAGATGGTTCAACTGCATCGAAGCTTTCCACACAAGGCAGTTACATGTACATACAGCGTGTACATGTATGCTTGCTGTTTAACTTCTTCACTAAACTGGCAACCTTTAGAGCCTTTTTGTGTTTATTTTGGAAGTCACAAATTATTAACGGGTAGTCCTTCAAATTCACCACAGTGCCACATTTTGTGATAGGCTTCCTACTGGAGAAACACTGAGATTTTGGAACGACAATAATATTCCTCAGATACGGCCCTGTATACAAATGTGGATTTATGAGCATTTGAAGGCAAGTCCAATTACATACATGTACAAGGGCAGATAACGAGCAAAGTTTTCAAGACATCAAAAATGTTTGGGGTGGGGGCCGTCGTGGGGGGGGGGAAGTGGATTTGTTTTTACGTAGAGTGACCTTTATGGCCTTCCTCAGGGGCGAGGCAACATTTTGGAGCTTTTTACACACTTTAGGGGGAAAAAAGGAATAGAAATAGACCCCAAAAATGGCTTTCATTGTCCAAAGAAAAAAAACTTGTTCTGCTTGCGAGGGGGCATGGCCCCACTCACCCCCCCCCGATCAATCAGCCCTTGATTACGTACTACGTAGTACATGTACGTTCAGGTGTAGGCCTACAAGTAGTTGCAGCCTTCCATTTACAAAGAATAAATGTACAAGATGCTGTCTTTGGGGTGAGGCTTACCATATGACATTGGAATTTCAACTAGCCACAAGTAATCATTTTGATCTGCCTCCTCATTTGTCATCCCAGAATCACCAACTTTTTCAACAGCATCTCCAGTCACATGGATCACACCATCCTGGTATTGGACACTGCACTGAACATATCTCTCCAACAAACTGTCAGCATCACCCTCTTTCAGCATCCTGTCCAGTTCATCTCCCGGCTTCCATGGGTTCCTGGTATGGAGAAGCAAATGGACGAAGGCCCTGTCTGCTGCAGGGTAGTCGTGGGGGTTTGTGGGCGTGACTCTGGCCGACAGGGAAGTGTCCAAAGAAACACATCCAAATGGTTCAACAGTGAAGGCCCAGGAACGTAATTTGACGAGATGAAAATCAGAAATTGTTTCTCCAGTTGGCTGCTCATCATCCACTCTACTCCTTGCTGGATTTTCAGTGTCAGCTGTACTTGCTAATCTTGCCCCAGTACAAGGGATACTTTTGGTCCTTAATATGGTGTAGCCATCGTAACCTCCTCCTTGCATGAGACCAAGGGCAGCAGTGTTGCTGGGAAAATGACACGATCGAACTTCAAAGACTGCACTAAACATTATCTTGTTTGGCACCAATAATCGTTTTTGAAATGTTAGATTGTGAATCCCTCTTATTATAAGGGATTGAAATGACGACCGAGCAAAAAGCAACATATTGAGAAAAAAACTTTATGATACTACTTTTCTCTCTTCAAAGTATTTTGAAAAATCCCGCGAACTTCAACTTTTTATCACCTCAACGCGTGAAGCACGCATTGCAGCATACACAAGTACATGTACATGTACATGTACTGTACACATTGCATATTGACAGACTGCGCACGATTCGACTTGTTTCGGTTTTTTCTGATGCATATCAAACACCGCCCCCTGTCGTCGATCTGAAATGCGATTGCCTATGGTCACATGACGGCAGCAAAATCGATACTGCTACTTGTCGACTAATATTCGTCAGGTTCTTGGTCCATATTGATGAGCTGCGTTTACATCATGTAACCATAACGAAGTCTGTTCTCCAGTGCCAGGTTTTTAATGGGAAAATATTTTGATCCAAGGAAAATGATTTTGTTGTGCAAAAATTCAAGCATATTTTCGGTGATAAGATGTCAGATGAAATCGAGAAAGAATACTCGAATAGTATACAGCGATGTTTCGGTATCTTTAGAATCGATTTATATATGGCTGTTGTTTTGTACTGTGTACATGTACTGTACATGTACATTGGGGGGAGTGATGTGGGTCAGCCCGATTTATGTTTGTACGTGTGCGTGATATAGGCCCTACACTTCAGGAATTACCGGAGAATGTGGGAAAGCATTAAATTTTTAGTAGTTTTTATTGCAGTCATTGTACAGTAACAGAAGTTAAACAACCACCAAAAAAAGGTAAGGCATTGCTTCGTATCCAGCCTATATCTTTTCGTACATCTTGATCAGCAAAAAAGATTGGATGTTGTTGTAGGCCGGCTAGTCATATCATGGAGGTATGGTCATATCATCAGTTGGTCATTTTTGTTCACTGTCTCGGCCTACCTCCATGGTTTGTGTCATTCACCACATCCACCAGGCACGTCATTGTCAGTGACCATTTTCTCTCTTCCCTTTTCATGTTTTTTGTCCTATCATGTCTACCTTCATGACCTTCTGAACCACTGAAATAACTCTGCAAAAAATAATTTTTGTACACAATGAAATGTAACATAACCCCCTGCGTACGACGTCACGTGAGAGGGCATTTCTTTCTTCCTCAAGGACAGGCTCGAGTAAACCTTTTGTGCATTCATTGTCATTAAATCTTAACAACAAAACATGGCCTATGGGATAGGGAGGGCACTCCATCATGTCCATACTGGCCCCTGGGCAATGTTTATTGGCACCTCTACATTTTTGATATTCAAAGTCACAATGGAATTTTTAGAAATTAACGCAGACCTCGGGCCTATGCTAAGAAGTGTCCACATCTTAAGTTTAAATTACAAGCCCTACCTGGTACTGACATATATAGACCTACATGTACAGTCTGGAAGGAACATAGGCCTAAATAAGATTAAGTAGATCCCATTAATTTTCCTGAATGCCTGCCATTTGTAATGCTTTTTTTACTACAAAATGAGAGATCTGGTCAGTTGAATAAAATTAACAGAAGCAATGGGCATGACAGAAATTAACATTGCATGGACTGTCTGGACTCGTCATGAAAGATTGGTTTATGTTGTCTATGTAACTAGAGGTGGTTTTATCTCACAAAAATGCATATTTTGAAGTTTTACTTAATTTTTTTCAGAAGGTATATTGAAATTTGAAATTGAAACTGAAATGAAGATTTGGAAAAACTCCTTGCTGTGAAGTTTAACTCTTTGGGCTATTGTTGTGTACACAGTGTAAATACAGGCAGACGAATTGCACTTACCAAGAAATTGAGAACAGGGAACTGCCCCCTGTGGGATTGTCAAGATGCCAGTCCAAGTCTATAACATACCCATCATTCAGCCTGACCTAAGGCGGGAAGAAACAATCCAGCAAATTGCTGACACCCTGGAGTACATGGAGAAGGTAGCCAACGAAGTTTTTGATAGCATCATCACCCAGGTCAGTGAAAATCACACCCGACTGGAGGGCATTAACAAGAGAATAGATGTCGCCCAGGCCAAGGTGGAGAAGATCAAGGGCTCACGCAAGGCCATCAAGGTCTTCTCCAGTGCCAAGTACCCAGCCCCTGATAGCCATCAGGCCTATTCATCAGTCTACACGGACTCGGCCATGGGCCAGGTCCGGCGGCCTCACAGGAAGCTCAACAGCAAGCACCAGAACTTGGATAGCCGTGCACTGCGGGAGAAGCTGCAGTTCTACAACGTCCAGTTGAACATCCGCAAGGACAAGGATGGTCAGAGTTCGTGGGAAGGGCTGGGAGGTCTGCCCAAGCACGTGGAGTCCATCAACTCCCTGCTGCTGTTCAACACCAGCGAAAATCCGTAAGTTAGCCAGGCACTCCATGAAAATCCCTTGTGGAATACCTTGGCTTGAAAAGGCCTTGTTCAAATTACATGGCTGTGGCTTTGAAATATGTGCTCTGTGGAAGCCCTTATATAGTAGCTGCAGTTATTTTCCTATAGGCTTGTGTGTTAATGCTAGCCATGGCCAAGTAATTCTGACATGACCTGTTAGAGCTCAGTGGAGAGGTGAATGTAATACCTTTGGAAAATTGAGCTGATGTCAGCTAAAAGCATAACAGATGGCCCATCGATTTTGGCTAGCAGCTCCTAAATGTCTCAAAACAAGTAAGAGGTCTTTAGTTCTGGTATTGTATGGGTGTCATGTTCTATTTGAAAGCCTTCAGGATTGCCAGTGAATCAAAGAATTCTACCATTCCACAGCGTACCAGTTCTCACCCTATGCTTTAATCTTTTCATTAATCCTTATATACTTTCTCTGGGATTTTCATAGGTACAAGAAGTACACCATGATCGACCCCCTGGGCGCGGTGACCAAGACGAGGAAGGCGATCGAGGAGGAGCAAGAGGAGATAGGAGCCGCGCCCATGTCCATCACTCAGCGGGAGCAGATGGAGAGGCAGGGCATGGAGAATTACTTCTACGTGCCTGACTTGGGAGACGTGCCGGAGATAGATGTGCCCCACTACCTGCCCGATCTGCCAGGTAGAAATGTTATGGATTCGTTATTTGCACTAATGTGAAGGCAGTGTCGCAAGAACGTGAAACGGTCCTGTCACTTTTCGATTGCGTCTTTGGGAACACGGTTTGTTGACCATGTCGCACCAGATGCCGTGTAAACATGCAGGGATCTCCTGTGTCCATAACAACGAGGATGTTTTAAACACATTCTTGCAAAGTGTACAGTACTTGGCCATGTCTTCGTCGGTCCAGTGTTTGAGTGATTCCCATTGCATTATTACATAAATCTTGTATAAATTATCAGCAAAACTTAAACTGTTTTAAAGTACATTGTACACTTCTAAAAACTTGACATTGTAACAAAGCATCATGAATTCAACAAAGCAGAGGTAACGCTTTGACAAAAAAAACGACCTAATGCACAGTGTACGTGCACAGCATGTGGACAACGTGTTAATGAATACAGCAAATATATACGTGTACATGTACCTGTTGGTTCATACCTACCACACCGCAACCTCACTGTCAAGAAAAATGTTACACACCTACTCACACAGAGATCCCAGGTAGTTCAACCTGGTTCTAAGAAGCATTCATGTGTGCTTGTAATGGCCGATGTTTTTTATTTGAAGATGCATTTCATGGTTGTCCTAAATAAGAACTGTATTACCATTTAGGCCATTTAGCCAGGCCATTTCTGTGTTTGTCTCCAGCTGGCAAATTTTCTTTAAAATGTTTATGAAATCCAGTTGTTGTCAAAATCATATTATGTCAATGCTGCAGTCACTGACTAAACTGTAAATAATGATGATCCAAGTGTGATTCTTATTTTATTTTTCCCAGGTGTTGCCGATGATTTGAGCTACAGTGCTGACCTGGGCCCTTCCATTGCACCCTCCCTCCCGGGCAGTAATGTACCCGAGCTACCCAACGTTGTCCCAGGACCAGGTGGGATGGAAGCCCTATCCAGCACCCCTGCCCAGGATCTCCCGGCCTTACCCGCTCCCATGGATAGTATTGGCGGTCCACCCCCGCCTCCTCCTCCCGGTGGTGCTGTAGCACCCCCTCCCCCCCCCCCTCCCCCGCCCCCTCCCCCACCGCCCGGTGTAGAAGGCGGTGGTGGGCCCCCACCCCCACCTCCGCCCCCTCCACCGGGCGGGCCCGACGCCCCATCCTCTGCCCCACCCCAGCAGGACGGCCGGGCCAGCCTGATGGAGTCCATCCGTATGGCAGGTGGCTCGGGCAAGGCCAAGCTACGCAATGTGACCGAGCGGAAGATGGAGAAGAAGCAGAAGAAGCAGAGCCAGGCGGTGACGGGGGTGAGCCTGATGGATGACCTGGCCGCCAAGCTGTCGATGCGACGGAAGGGCATCTCAGGGTCGCGGCAAGGCAGTGGTGGCGGGGGAGGGGCATCAGAGGAGAGCAAGGTGAACGGTAACGCTGGCTCCACCATGGATAAATTGTCAGCCATGATTCCACCTCCGCCCAAACCTACTAGGAATAGATCAGATACTGCTAACTCAGAGGATGATTGGGAGTAACCTTCACAGACAGCAAATTCCAAAGGTGGGATGAGATCTGAATACTTTGTACTTGGTACTTTGACATTCCAGTTCAACAATTTTTTGGTGGAATTACGGCCATACTTATAATTTTTGGTAATTCTTTGACACTCTTTGATTTGGACTGAGGTATGTAGAATCTTCCTCAAACCAGCGTAACTGAATTCAGTTACTAGACTGTCGCAAACGTGCATGTAAATTAACGTGTACATAAGCAATCCTACAAAATTTTATTCAAATCACAATGCATGAATGCGATATGTACAGGCATTTTTAAGCAAACGATTCATACTCTGTAATGTCAGGGATATTTACACAGAGATGTCTGCTTCCAGTTTGTGGATTTCACTGAAAGCCAAGGCTAAAAGTTCAGGTCGTGTTATAAGGAGTCTTTATATTGTGCTATGCTTTGATACAATACATGTATTTGAAAAGTAAACAAGCCTGAAATTTGCAAAATTTAAAAGCATTCACTGTTAACAGTTTACATGGACATGTATATACTTTATCTGTCCTGTTATACATCAATCATATGGTAGATCCAAATTTTAAGATGCCTTACTGTCAATGAAACTGCCAGACTTTGTCTACTTTTATTAACAAGTACAAATTAACAACAAACCAGAAAGTTGCTTTGCCTTGAGAATTAATTTCCCATGCTGTCTTGAGCTTATAATGAGGTCAGTGGAATGCCTGTCGGCATGCTACCATCCAAAAGCGTGATACCAATGTATCGGGACCACACTCAGTATTCAATATGAATACGTACCGGTACTCGTACTGGGCCTCGTCAGTGCAAGTATTTCCTCACCGGAAATATTGGTGGACACCTGGTAGTAATAATGAATGCATACCTGCCAGCCTGTCATACTCCTTCCTGAGGTCAGGCAATACCACACAATAGATTGAAAGGTATTTAAATCATCCCTCGGTTCATTTAAAATTCCAATCTATTATATGGTGATGCCTGACCTCAGGAAAGAGTACGACAGGTTGGCAGGTACGCGAATGACCCATGGATATAATGAAACAGCAGACCGAGCCGGCCAGCCCCTTCGTGTACATGCCTTAGGTTGCATACAATGTATGTGCAACACAGCATGGTGAAGGCTAAAGTCGCTGTGCCGCATGAATGCATGCTTGCTTCGAGTCACACGGATGATCGAGAATTGCATGACAGACTTTATACAACAGCCCCCTCGCTTGTTGTCTAACAAGCATGCACTTGTGGTGGAATATATGTAGGCCTTTGGCCAGTCTAGGTGCTGCTTTCATGGAACCAATAACTGCATTTGAGAGGGGTTCCTTGAAAGGGTTCCTTGAAGAGGTTCCTTTTTAGTTAACTCCATCACAAGCGAAAATCATTTGTAACAGGAGTAAATGCTACGTCCCACGCTCCTGTGGCATCGTGTATGGCTTGACTTAGGACTAGGTGACAAAGGTCTCCCCTAAGTAGGAAGTTTGGTTATAAACAGTCTCTCGTTTGTACTGAGACTTAAAGAAGATGGGTCAGATCCATGTAATAAGCGCTGACAGAAATTCACCTGTTAATTATTTATTCAGTGATTCATCCTCAAAGAAAAAGCTACATTGAAATTTGCCATAGTCATATTTTTTTCATCATTTTGTATTTCATGATGTGACCTGTTTGTTCAATCAACTCAGTTGCAGATTTGAAAGTGTGTATGCGTGCCTTGCTGATTTTGCTTCACATGGACTGCCACTGGGTAGTGCCATAAATATGAAGGGTTTAAGATTTACTGTAACGCTGAGGGAGGAGCACCTACACCTGTTCAGTAAATGCAGACTATTTCATCTATGAATATTCATAAAATATATCATTTGGTCAGCTTTCTTTTATGCCCCTTTCTGGATTAACTTTCCATTTAAAACAATTACATCTCATACTGCTTTAGAATGTTATTATCATACATGTATGTAGTTGAAAGATCACCAAATGTTGGACCAAGTACCTCCACTGTTGCTGTTACTCTGTTGTGAACTTAGAGTGAACAGCGACTCCTTTGTGTCATTCTCCTGAAGAAGTTTTTCCATCTTGGTCCTAAATCTTGGTTGTCTGTTTAATGCTGAGAATTGTGACAAGCGGCTCAAACTGTTTCTAAAAGGTAAATACTTTTAAGATTCAGCAGTTGTATATCATATTTTCATTTTGTCAAATAAAACCATGGACTTTTTCACCGTGTGAGAAATTGAATGAATGGATGAATGCATGGAAATTACTGCATGGAGATCATAAGGAAAAGTAATCAGAGCAGATACTTTGTATTAAAAATCTTTATGGCATAGAGACAATAAAGATGACGTGTAGAACTTGCAATAGCTAAATAATTGGTTTGATTTTTGTCAGTGAACTGACTGAAGTCTGAAGTTGCCCAACATTGATTAATAAGGTGAAGCAAATAATGTCTTCATATACAATTCCATTGACAATTTAGGGGTTGTAGGATATCTGGATTTTTTTTCCCCGTACATTTACCACACCAACCATAATATATTTTGTTAGTTTCCAGGGAATGAACACAACACACCCCCAAGGCCCAATGGGACCGGTCTGGTCTGTAGACCCCCCCCCCACATCAAGATAACACAAACATGAGGTCATATTAAAATGGCCAGAAGCAAAACAAGCCATCAGATGAAAATTAAAAAGACCACACTGGAAACCCCCTACGGAGCCATCAAGATGACTAGATTGTTTTACCGCCTGGTAAACTGAAAATCAAAAGGCAAGAGGGTAATATACCACTGAATACCTCGGAGCCAAATGACCGGTTGGAGATTGAAAATAAAATAATTAATTGGTTCAAGGAGGCCTCACACACTGTTTTCACTTTTATCCACCAGCATTTGTAAATAATCCTGGGCACGAGGAAAAGCCATGGTGAAGCCAAGATTCAAAATTGGCCTTGAACTGTACGCAAGCTTGACTGAGTTGGCTGTATTGTAACTACAGTTAGAAAACTGGAGATACATGAAGTCAATTTTGAAGTTTCTTCCGATTACAAAACATGTACTTTGTGTGAGTGTAATGTGAACTTGCAGATTTTTAGAAAATAATTTGATAAGCTCAGGTTCAGGTTACTTTGAAGTGTGTGATACAGGCACGGAATGTTTCAAATTACAGGGCTGACAAACAGCATGGGCATAGACAGCCATAGCTCTGGAAGCTGATAATGTGTCTACATCCTACTGACACAAAACAGAATGACATCACCGCTATCCTGATAGCGGCTAAGGAGATTGCTCCTTTTTTAATCAGAAAGGAGCTCATCACAGACTTTGGAATGTTTTTATTGCATGGCCATGACAAGATTTAATTTTTTTTACATGAAAAGTACCATATGAATGCAAGAGTGAGTGAATATCCTAGAATGCATGATTCTCATGCTCAGTGCGTGAGAGTTGGCCGCCCTGAAATTAGTTCCAGGAATGTGGGCTCTTTGTGTAATGGCTTTGATGTATGTCATTCCTGGCAGAAACATCACCTGTACTCCAAGTACTAAAAATGACAAGCATATCGGGATTCAATTACCCATGCAATGGAATGAGGGTTGAACTGGGATGAAGTGGTCAGCCAACTAGGAGTAGACCCAACTGGGAATACATGTGAGTGGGAAGTCATGGCCAACTGAAGTATAGGGAGTGATGAATTAGTTATGAATTGTCAAGCAGCTGGCAGAAACTTAACGCTCAATAAACAAAAATGACATGGCTGGACTAGATGATGATGACACATTCAATTCCATCAAATACTACCTGACACCACACCAGACTATGAAGGAACTCAGTACATTAACAGACACCGATACCCTGTTTTATTATTCCATTTCAACTTGACATTTAGTTTTAGAGTAATTGAGACGGTCAAGGTGTCAGACATCACAGTTTCAGTGCCCTAGATACACTGCTTCTCAGTCAGTATGTCTCCGATGTGTTACAGTGCTCGCAAAGTTTGGAGCAAAAATGATGCACTTCTCCCTTGAGAAGGGAAAGCCTCTTCATCACCAAAGCCTTGCTGAGTCCCCGACTCTTCAACATTTACCTGCGAGTGCAGGCAGTGTTGGAAGGTAGAGGCCAAAAACGAAACAGAATTTTACAAATGCAATAAAGCGACCTGTTAGCCTGACACATTGCTTTTTACTGCAACTTTACCGAGGATGACTGTAACTGGTAACAGTGAGATAAACAACAAAAACCTACTGAGGAGGGTTATTTTCTCGCTAGTGAGGAGGTAGCAACATCATCCATGCGATATCCACCTTTTGTTTCAGAGCCCACGGGAGTTACTGCTGCAAAGCACATCATCATCATTAGAATTGTTTTTAAATTTCATTCTGTAAGTGAAGGAAGTGGGAACTTCCTCCATATGTATAAAAATGTTGGTCCTTCAGATATATTAACATGTAAATAAACCCACATGAAAATGTGTAGATCATGGAAACCTTTCGGAAGGACACTGTAGAATTGATTTTGAAAAAAAAAGGAACTGAACCTCCCTTTCTCAATTAGACGGCAGAGAGGACAGGGTTGGGGTGGGGTACTCCTTTCTTAGAATGTTATAACTAACAAAAGTTTTCAAATCTCTGTGTGCAGTTCAAAACATCAATGCAGGTCAGCTATTACTGAGTTAACTATTTGGTTAATCACTAGGGAAATTAACAATCCACAAATTTAAATTCCAACTGAAGAGTTGGCAACTGGTGAGTCAGAGTTGATGATTGACAAAAACAGGCAAATTCCAATATTTACAAGACTTTGTATTTTCAGTGGCTTTCAATTTTCAGTGGCTTGGGTGTGAAGTGAACAAGGAGGAAATTAGCTGAGCGGAAGAAATGTTGTATGCCTGGAAAAAAACAAAATGTTTGAAAGTAAATGATGGTAGTCCCAGAAGTAATCGCTTTCAAATTTCAAAGCCTGGTTCCACGAAGATGGGCATCCATCTCCTAAAAGCTCTGGAAATGACTGACAGAGGTCTGCACTCCAGCTCTTACCGAGAAACACATGGAATCCACCTCTGAACCACAATTTGTCCAGCTGGTGCCCAGACGTTTGACAGAACTGCTCTTGATAGATAATGACAAGCTGTTTGGCATGGGGGGGTGGAGTGGAAGGGGCCGGGGAATCCTGAGAGAAGCTATCAAGATTGAAACAACATCAGGACTTAGAGAGACAAGATAAACTGAAGGGGTGAAACGTTAATTACCAGTGCATTATGGGAGGAGTTTCAAGCTGTCAAAATAAGGTCACAGCTGCAAATCAGATTTAAATACCGTGGAATATGCATCAAGCAAATTGTGTTTCAGTCAAAATTGAGCCTTGGAAAGATCAAGTGAAACATCACACCTTTCAAAGTAGAATAAATATCTGAAGTAAGCATACGTACTAGCCACTTGACAACATCTGCCCAGTTTCTACACCAAGTTTTAAAAAAGAAAACAAATGCAGGAAAATCTAAAATGCTCAGTTGTGAATGCTTTATTCATCGTCATTTCCGTACCCATTTCATAAACCAACAAACAACTATGATCTCCATTTTATTTTTAATTATTCTCATATTCACCATTCCCAATCTACTTTCGCATTGCATTAAATAAAAAATCAGATGGCTTCATGTTCAACACTGAAAGTCTCATCTTCAATTACTAGAGATAGAATTTCCTCTTATTTACACGGGAGGCAAAAATTTTTTAGGTATGATCTCTTGCTATATACAGACTGTCTGTGCTGTCCATCAAATGATTAAATTATGATACTTGTATACACACACGTACAGCGGGTCACTGGATGTGAATAATAAACAACACAGCACGATTGCTGGCAGTTCACACTGGAAATGCATAGCACTTTAAGACTTACAACAGGGGCCAACTGCAAGGGGTTACAAAGCACAGAAAATATTTAGCCATTTCCAGGCTAAAGTGAATTTTGTTGAGCTGTTATCAATCTTATCATAAGTCACATACAAACAGAATAATTTACACCCCTCCCCCCAAAAAACACAGAACATACAGTTAAAGGTAAATTGTACAACCTCTTATTTCCTTTGTTTTCTTTTCAAAAACCTCTATGTTTGAGAATTATGATAAATGAGGTTAGTACCAGCGTGGCCAAATTTCCACTATTACCTGGAATTGCCCAGTTGCTCAGCAAAAACAGTCACAAGTCAAAGCACCATACAATGCATACTGCCCATGACTGGTTCCTGGCTACGTTTTGATTGACTATAAAGGTTTCTAAACAATATTTTCCACTTAGCAGCTCAGTGAAGTTGGGTTCTGTACATGTTAATGTCAACTATACATGTATGTACATCACTGTTGATTACCTGACTTTCATTCTACCCCAAGATTCGTCAAGATCCTGTGCCCAGCAGATTTGGCACCATTTTCAAACTTGGTTTTAAGTATCCAAAACTATCACTTTTCCAATCTGGCTTTAAGTACAAAAAAATCTGCCACTGGAATGCTTTAAAGAGGTGGATTTTTGGAATTTTTTTCTGAGATTTCCGACAGAAATGCCCAAGGCATTCGGATCAAAGTTTACCTTGGGAGTTTTCTCGAATCACACATTTGTACAAGTTCTACCATATGAGGTACTGACCTTTTTTTGGAGAAATGACACCAGCTGAGAAATTTTGACAATTATCCAGCCACCACAAGGTGCAGCCCACTGCCTCTGATATTTACCCTTCGCATGCTTAATCACTTTGTAGAAAGTTAAAAGGACTTGTGCAAATGTCACATGCAAACTGACAAACGAGGTAAACAGCGTCAGGTACATGTACATGTAAGCTTAGGTGTGAAGAGAGGTCCGGAATAGTTTCATTATTTCACAGTTTTGCTACAGTATGATATTAGATATACAGGTACATGTACATTTACACACTCTCTAATGAACTGTAACACCAACACTGGGGTGTGAACTACCTTCATGTATAATGTGCGGGCGAAATGACCCATGCACAACGGTGTGGCATGGCCCCACTTCCAAGCACGTAAAGTTGGCCTGCTAGATCCTCCACGAACAGACCATTTCAGATGTACATGTACATGTAGGTGTTCCTGACTCTTACTTTAGGTCTGAATTCATGTATACCGCTACCAAATTTTATACACGAACAGCTGAAAACATTCTAAATAGGTTAAAAAGCCTCTGCAATTCATCTCCAAACTGTACATATTCTGTAATTAAATTTGCACATTGTGGACAAAATACCAAAATACAACATACATGTACACTTCACTGTTACACCGGAAAGTCTTCACATTTTTTTTCATAATAAACTTGTGATTAGCAAAAGAATACTGCAAATGGAATTAAAATGCTTGCATTATCCAACAATTTACCAATTCTTGCAATATTTAGGTTTAAGGAAAGCTGAGATATCAAAGAATCTTATGTTAAACTTGACTTAGTCTGCTCTTTTAATTCCCCACGTAATTTAAATAACTAAATCTTTGGCGGTAACTGTGCTTTTAAGTAAGTGGTCCTGATGAGTGAGCCACTCTTTTCGTTGCATGGTGAGCACAATGGACCCAGGTCATTATCAATTAAAATGATCAATGTTATTGGAGTATGCTGAGTCAGCTTGACTTTTCATCCCAAAGAAACAATACTGTGAAGTATCTTGCCTAAGGACACAAATCACACAGTTCTCTGGCCATTCTAGAACCAACAGTGTCTAGTTCCTGATGCAAATCCTTTGGGAGATCCCCATGTATGTCTAATTGTTCTTATTAGCCTGATCCGAAATATGACAGGGAACCAACCTTGGCAGTGTTCAGACACAAGTTGAAGACAGGGAGACTGTTTATGACCTGTCAATGATACCACAGCAGCAAATAAAATACTACACAAAAAAGGGGCCACTGCCTCCACAACCATCTCCAAATAAAAATGTGAAAGCACCGAGAGTGTGAGGTGGATAGAGAGATCAACAATGTGACAGATTAATACCTCCATTGGGCCATGAGAGATGACACACACGGCTGACCTGTCTGCAACATCACAGTTACAATTAAAATGACCCGCATTTAATTTGACCTTCCACAGTCATTCAATTGACGAATCTGATAAAAAGGAAATTGGCTTGGACTTTTAACTTCAAGGAATTCTGCTTCCCATCATCCAATAATCCAAATAAATGGACTCAAGATTCTACCGGTATTTCAAAAATCCCCAAAGCACACCCAGCAGCCACAGAATCAACTATCGGACGACCGTAGAGTGACCTTATGGGAGGGGGGAACCATCTGTCCCTCAATTAAGACAGCACGCAAGTAACCATCTCTTGTAAGAAGGTAAACTCCACACTGTTTTTCTTGCCCACAAATTACAAATGTGCATGCATATACCATACACGTACAGTACATGTTTACAGCTCGTCTGTAATTTCAGTAGAGCAGATCCACGGATGGCAACAAAGTGCAATACATCTTGCTACAGGTGCATTTTAGATTTGCACGTACATGTAAACAAGAAAACATCAGCTGACATCTTGTCTGCATTTTGTGTTTTAAACATATGTACATGTACACTCGACTGCCAAGCTCAACCTGTTATGCCCTCTAAAGCTAAACCTTTTCTCATGACTGGCAATACAATGCATCCCTGTAATTCACGTTTTGGAGTTAACTGCCCAGTTGGTATCTGACTTGTGAGACTGAAGTCAATTTCTCAGTCAGCCCCTGTGAAGTAATGTGCGGAGAGACAGATCTACATGACCTACTGGTTAGATATAGTCAGCTACGTGTACGAATGTGGTTGCTGACATGCAGCCAGTGCACACATAAAGACAGAAAAGGTTTGTGCGCATTCAGATGAAAATACCCCACATGTACAGTACATGTATGCACTTCCATGCACAGTCAAACACAGACACATGTACAACAAGGACAATTCTAGGTCCCAAGTCATTGTTTTTCTTTGTTTTCCAGATGACTGTTATAACAAGATAATTTGTGAAGTCTCAAGGACCTTGTTGTGACAGTGTTCCACTGTACATGTAGATCTACCGTACATCTTGAGTGTACACGTAAATCAAAAAGCCCATAGAATGTTAACCACCAAGCGTCTCAAAAGTCTCCCATTTCATGCTAAGCACAGAAAATACTTGTATAAGGTTGCTTAGCAGATGGAGGTTACCCGTCAAATGTTTAAGTCACAGGTTTTTGCTTCTCACTGGTTCTCCACAGGCTTCTTGCTTTTCTTAATTTCTGTTTAGCATCTCCAGTGGGCCCTGATTAAGCATTCAGTAAAACACCCTTGCGATCTTGTGAGTGCTCACAAAATGCCACATTTCTTTGCTTAACAACAGCTGTATGGAATGCACTTAATTCACAAGATAGCCATTTTGGATAACGCTCCTTGAATCTTTCTCAATTACTGAACACTGCGAAATAGGAAAGAGCCCGGATATTTTACTACAATTACCTGATAACAGGTAAAGCCTTGCTTTGAATTTTCTCATTTGGGAAAATAAAGGTGACACAAGTTTTTATTCTTAATTTGGAATTACCCATTTGAGTGCAAGGATGGTAATCTATAATTCGCACCTACTGCATCATCTTCATTCCCAAACATATCAAGTTTTAAGAAAATTTACATAGGGATGGCTTCTCTTTCAATTCAAGACGGCTGGCTTGAGTATAAGGCCAATTGGGACCTGCTCTCACTGCAAAATATCCATACAATTTCATTACATCATAATGTCACTGACAAATACTCTGGTGCTTACGTGTACGTTTATTTTACAACATTACCACATGCATGTGCGGGTACTTCACACCATAATACTGTAATCAAACTAAGCCCCTAAAAGTCCAAGCCCAAAATGTCAGAGAGCACATGACAGACCAGCCTGATGGCTTGATGTGAAAAACATGCAATCCTTTCCATCATCAACGGCAGCATCGGTTCTGGCATTTTTCCTGTCCCAAATGAGAAGGGTGACCGAAAAAATTCTGGGCCACTGGAACCACCTATTCCCCTTTCCCTTTGAGAATCCCCATAACAGATGGCACATACACACTGTACACGTACATGTACATGGAGTATATGCACATCATTGCAACTCATGCAAAAGGGTAGGCACTCAGGAATCTGACGGACAGAAATGTCCCCCGTACAGTCCCCCTTCGATTTCTCGCCCCATCTGTCTCACTCGTCACAGAACCAGCTCCGTGACATCAACAGGCTCGTCATCTCCACTGTACACATAGTGTACAGTGACATCAACAGCACTGAATCTACTTGACCTTTGACCCACATGTACCATGCTGCATGTATGTCTATAGTGCCCCGTGACAGTCTTTCCCTAAGTTATGCATGTACTACGTGGATCAATCCTTCATCACGATCATTTTCACAGGTCTTGCGGCATGTTCCTCTCTACTTCTTCATAAATACAGTGTAATCTCTTATTTACATACACTGAGAATAAACTTTGCCTGAGAAAGAGGCCCTTGCACTGTCACACATGAATGCATTAATACCATGAAATGTACATACATGTACATGTACGTCCACAGATGCCAACTCTGGTGAGCAACATGTATTGTTATACATGTATGTACCAGCACCTGAAATTAATGCTTGCTAAAATCCCCTGGTGGAGGTATCAGGTCAAGATATATGAGAGCCAAGGGTTGACAAGTCTACTCCAAACACAGCTCTGTTACAGTAGTTGTTTTCACAATCTCTCTAAGCAATATGCTAACCACATATACTCATTAAAGTAAGCATTTTTTCTGTCTTGTGTCAAGCGGCATTTTTCTCAGGTAGAGCTTGACAAAAGCCACAAAGATCAGCCTAGGCTAGACTAAGGTCATGACCTCATGTCATACTTGGCACATGACAACAGGCAGGTCAGGACGTAGTCGAGGTGGGTCCAGAGTAATTTCTCCCTGTCAAAAAAAAAAAAAACAGGAAAATGAACAATCACAACAGGCTTACAATTTCAAAGTCACAAAAGGTAATTGTAATTGTAAGACCAACATTTCACACCCATGTGATGCTTTTGTTTATAAATATTCTAAAAATAGAATCAAAATTTTCAAATGCAATCCTATCCTCGAGGCTCAATTCCCACATGTTCAACACAGGATGTTGTTGTTATGCATGTATGTAGTATACCATAAATAAGGTCCAATCAAAATGCCTTGTAACTACAGAAGTACCACAGGACCACATGATTCCTTAAAGATCGGCCATTATACCTCGGACAAGCATGTGGTTAACAACCATGCATGTTCATGTTGTGAACTTGATAGCGGGATTTATCATCACATAAAGTAAACCTGGATTCTTTATCGCTTGGCATAAATGATCACCACTTTTTGACATCACGATTGTCGTTACTGTTCCAATCCAGTTCTAGGTGCTGGCTCCAAGTTCTCTTCATACTCTCTACATTTCTAAAGCCTTGAGGGTTAGTCTACTAAGGAGATAAATGAATACTGCGTTTGAAGGGTGAACTCAACCCAGGAGAATGAGTTGCAAGTCACTACAACTGTTTGGGTTTTTGGTCTTTGAAGGATCATGCACGATGTGCATTGCAAAGCAACAGAAACCCTCAACCTTTTTCATCAGTGGCATATCAAAAGAAATGGCTCTTTTCATTTAATTTTCTTTAAATTTTATTTAATTTTCATTCTTAATGCACAAACTGAAACAATTTATTGCAAAAACAATGGCATTAAGACTCATTTGGTAGGATGCGGTTACAGATGTAGACATCTTCACAGAATCATTCTACTTTTTGTGTATTTTGAGTGTTTTCAATGTACACATTGAACACATACACCACTTTTCCCATCAAGTCTCTCACTTCAAAGATCATGAAGTTTGACGGAAGAACTGCATACACATGTAAGTCTGGTAGATATTCACATTTCAACAGAATCAACTTCACTAGGAACGAGTACAGTCCAAAGGGGTCCTTACTATCACATGATTAGAATATCACATGACTTTTGTCATTATGGAAGGGGTATGGAAGGGGGTCTACAGGGGAGGGTGGCAGTGGTGGTGGTGAGAGGGGGTCAGGGTGGGTGCAGGAACGAGGGTGGCCGTGGGGGGGGGGTTTACCTGCGGCCTAAGGTTGGTGTGTATTCTCATCATCCCTGCCTTCATTCTCCTCCTCTTTGACCCCGGTATTTCAACGTAGAACTCATGAGCTAGATGTCCATCCTCATCATAAAACTTGGAGCTGTGACATTAGAACCAAGAAAAAGATTGCTTGCTTTCTTAGAAACTTGAATTCTTAAAAATGAAAGAAACAAGGGAGGGTTCTACAAAAAATGTGATCTGATGCTGTTGACAAAATCAATAAAATGCCACTGAAGGAATTTTTTTAAACAGTCAGGATCTCAAACTGTTGTTGGCAATTGTTGTTAATTATCCTTCTTAATGTACCGTACATGTATTTCTTAGAACAAGCTCGACAGGCAATAGGTATACATGTACATCTGAATTTAATAACACAGTGTTTGTTTAATCTTCAGAAATTCTGGTGCAGCATTCGCTTGTCATGACTGTCACTTAGCCACGGCATGAATCAGGAGAAAATTGCTTGACAGTATGTGTTAGAAATATATACCGGTACTTTCTCCGACCATTTAACATTAGCAGGAACTGATAGCATAAATTTACATAAAAGTGCAGCAAGCTCCTTACACGTACATGTATCATGTTTCAAACGACTCCTGTGTAATGAACCATTCACCATGAGTCTTTACTTATTCCATGTTCAACAGTGCAACGACCTGCCCTCAGAGTGTGACCATGTACTGCAGCTGTCATCGTGTGTGCATGTATGAATGAGTAACAAGCGTGGCTTATCAGAATACTAATTTCATGTTGCACTCTGGAGTGAATGGTGGAGGGGTCAAGTCAATCTGTCATTATTTCACTTGTGTTCCTCAGAGTTCTGAATGATGGTGGTGATTAGTGAGGGCCTCCAGCCACCTGTTCCTGTTTTTTTTCTTTCAGGCAGTAAGTAGTGCATAACAGGCAGTTGCAAGACAGAATACTGCTTTCTAAATGAGGACGATGGGAACACACATTCTTTCTTTCTCTCATAAAATGCCACATTCCCTCAGAGTAAACCAAGGCTGCTCTTACAGCAGATCATTGATTCTTTCAGTTTCAATGCACAGGACTAAGGGTAATGCCGACTATGTCTGCCAATGGCTCCAAGGGCCTTTGGTGAAAACTGATGCACCTGATATCCGCACTTGGCTAATGTCATGTACCTGCACTGGTCCATGAAGTACAACCTGAAGTGGTCCATAAGTCACACAACCTGTGTGTTTCCTTTCTTCATCTTTTTTCAAATCTTTCCGTGAAATATCCTTCGATTGGATATACATGCGAGTGAAGTAAACTTATACACTTTAACCAGTGAAATATGGAAGGGCTGCGTAGCACGGTGATCACCATGACCGTGGTGAATAGACGCTGACAATGCCAAAAGCAAGAAACATAATCAGCCTCCACTCACCTTAGAGGGTCTCAAATGGTGTAAAGTCCAGCCAATACATACATGTACGTGTATGTACACATACATGTACATGTCTATAATTCCCACATATGTATCTTTTCAGTCACACAGTCAAAACAAAAAATTCGGATTTGTAACAAATGCTTTCAACAATTTTAATTCATTTTTTTTTCCAAACGGCCCTCTGGCCATGTAATGGTTTGTTCCTTTCCAGAGTAGTCATAAACAGTCTTCTTACATGGAAATTGGCGCACACTTGATGCACAAGGTGTCCAAATTTTTTCACTGAAAGCAAGTCCATTCACTTTAAAAAGCTGGCATTCTCTGAAGAAATGCTGTTCTGTAAATGTACATGTACAGTAGGCATAGAGCTTACTGACGCACAACACGTCTCTCTCTCTGCAAAGTAAGGCCTACTGGGTTGCCTGGGCACATCCATGTTTGTGCACAAACCTACGAAAAACTTGAAATTTTGGACAGCTTTTGTACAGCTACATTGTATCTGAATCTACGTCTGTACATGTATTCTGAAATGATGCATCAACAAAGCTGATATTCCAGAAACTGAAAAGCACAATCAGTAAATGAGAGTTCAGTTTTGCATGTTGCAAACGAACATGTGTGTACATGTGCATGTGCACGCTAGAGACACTAAATTCAAGGACAGGAAAAAGGAGAATGAGCATGTACATGTACAATGTACATGTACAATGTACTTGCACGCTGCATTTAGAATGTACAGACATGCACCAGGTACATGTCATTCGGAATTTGTTTCATCTTATTTCATAATGTTCTACACAATACATGTACTTTAATTAATGAAACATGTCAGAGCCAGCAGGCATGCGTGCAGGGAATGACAAGTTAGCACCCTTGTTCTTCAATGTAGCTTAGTGAAGGACGAGGAGTGAAACAGTTCCCTCAACTGTCTTTCCCTCGCTGTATTCAGAAAGCAAAAACAAGCCCCCTCCCCCATTTGCCAGCACACAGTTGACCTCCCAGACACCAGATGAAACAATTCCCACCAACCTGTCTCTCTTAGTATGAGTGAAAGGGGGCATGAAATCACAACAGATACAAGTAACTCACATGTATGTGTTGTATCTCAGTCTCATCTCACTCAGTCTTAGGCCTACAGTATGTTACATGTTCAAATGTAATGCACATGTACTTCTGATGTCTGACCAAAATGCTACCCACAAATATTGATTTTTATAACTGAAACGTACATGTACATGTAGTTCTTAATTTGAAATACATGTACATGTATGTATAAAAAGTATAGATACATGTATTTTAACGTCATCTACCTGTATATAAACATTGAATTTTGTCAAAGTATTAAACTGATAGCACATAATTGTCAATTCCCCTTCAGATCAAATGATTGCATGGTATAATCAGTTACATGTACAGTACATGGCAAACCACAAATGTGGTTGACTGCGGTTTGATACCTGAGTCAGATTGGCAGATTACAATTTTTTCCCCACCTTAATACACCAAAATATTATTATCCTTTTAATTTTTTAATTGAAGCTCCAACTTTATATGTATTTTCTGTTTTGAAGCAATCTTTCCCGGCTGCGAATTTGAAAGAAAAGGCACTTATGTGTAGCTGATGTCTCAATCTGCTGATTGTCAACAAGCACACAATACAACTGACTGATCGCACAAAGATCAGGCGATTGTGCCGATCGACTGATCGTGTGCAATCCACTGTCTTATCTCAATAGAGTTCTGCATACATGTACATGTAGTGTGCCTTCACAGAGCACAGGTCTTTGTTCCTCAGTGATATGATTGAGTAGATCCTATAATACTTTATTGTCAATGATTGTCATATAAATCTAAATAAGAAACATGTCCTCTGTGAGGGCGCTGCATGCAGCCCCTCTATAAACATGATAACCATGTGATGAAGATCATTTAATACGAAAATGTTAAAAAAAAGGACATCATGAATCTCATTATCTCAGATTGAAAAACTTTCAATATGCATTTTCAATTTTGTTAAAAATTTTTGAAAATGTTGAATTTCTAAACGACAGACTTTGTACGGTATGACAGCTTCATGGATCATTATTTTATGTACATTGGCCATGGAAATGGCATCAGCATAATGTCACAACGTGTCGTCAGGTCGTAGCGAACTTTCATTTGCATTGGTTAATGTTGTTAACGTTGGTATTAAAGTGCACACTATACTCATGCATCTTATGGCCCTATACGTTCATGACATTAGCAGATTAGAGTTCATAGCCTTGGCCTACATGTACAATACTCCCAGAACTGAGGGGTTGCATGTACAACAGGCATGACGATTTATACTTTTTTTATAGACTGTAGGCATGGTAGGCCTACATTGTATCATAGTCGACAAAGCATTCAAAGGACACATCACGCCACCACACCAACTGATAATCCTTTCCACAAGTGCAAAAGAAATATCACTGTTTTGAAATATTTACCTTCTTCTTGTATGTATAAAGGGGTTCACTTTCAGCCGACCGACCGCCACACACTGACCGTCTAGGGCTATGCCGTTATCTTCTCCCCTTCGACCGCTCGAACCGTAAAAATAGTTCGTGATTGGAGACGTGATCGAATTCACAAGGGTCGAACTTTTACTCCCCATTCCTTCCAACTGTTGGCAAGATTTGTCTCTAGAAGACAATCTGTATCCAGAAAAAGGACTCTCCCTCGGTGCGTCTTTTCCACTTTAAGTTCTCCAGTCGATGGATGGTCAGAACCAAAAAATCAATTTTTACACCATGATCCTGATGATGTACGTGTACACGGTACTGCTGGTAGCAGCCATTTTGGATTTGTTTGAGTGTTCGAGCCGTTGAGTTTTCGTTACTATTGCAACGAGCATTCGTGCAATCTTTTGTCGTCAATGTTTGTTGTTTTTGCCACAAGAAAAAATACAACTTTCTGAGCAACTTTTGAATTTTATTTTGTATGGGTGTCAGTTATTTCCAATTTGCAATCAAATAGTGAAGCAATTTCTATCTCCTTGTAAAAAATAAACTACAAAAGGAAAAATAATAGAGATTAAGATTTGACCATCAAAAATTCCTTTGCTGTTAAGGAAAAAAGCGTAAATATAATTACACTTTGAATAGGTCCTTTTTTCCAATTTGAAAAAAGATTGTGTGTCATTTTATGTCTCTTTAAAAAAAATCGAAAAATAGAGCCTGAAAGTTGACCCCTGACGGCGCGCTTCCGGAACCCTTGGATAGGAAAAATAAATTTGCAAAGATTTTAGAATTTGTAATTTTTTTTCGTTCGGTTAAAAATCCAACTCAGAAAAGGGGCTTTGAAAAATATTTGCCAGTAAATCAATTTATAGAAACTGAAAAATCACCTGACCTAAAAGAAAAATATCCTGCCAAAACTTGACCGGACACTTCCGAAAATCTAAAATACATGAAGAACGGTGCAATGCAGCAGTCTCGTACGCAGGTGAACATTTGCGGTTGTCAGTCGGCAAAAATTGAAATAAAAACAGATCAAAATACTTTGCATAGTTTTACAATTTATAAGGTAATAAACTTAAAGCAATGTTCTACTTTTACGAAAGATTCTAATTTTTATCTAACTTTGGCTGACAACAATTGCGTGATGTCAACTCAACAGAACCTGGAGCCCATCGACTGAAGGTACGTAAATCTTTGCAACGTTGTACAGTGTACACTCTCATTTTCACAAAAGCACGGGGAGTGAAAACAAACGTGCCGTGAACAAGGAGACCTAGATACGATTTCGCTCGACGTGAAAGGTCGTCAAAAAAAATCATTTTTTTACCCATCTCCAGGTCACTTTCCTAAATATTACTTGAGGGAGACCAAGGTAAAATTCCAACATGAGTGTTTCATGGGGTGGTTTAAAGTTAGGAATTATTCTTCCAAAGTTATCTAGCATGATAGGACGGCCCAATGTAAAATCTCCATAGGCGGACCGCGCAAGGTTTCCGGAAGCTCGTTGCGTGACCTTTTACTTTCAGGTTCTATTATTTCATTGATGCCCAAAAATTAGAGTAAATAACCATCTTTACAATCTTTATTCTTTACTTCCAGTTCACTTCCACTTACACAAATGGTGCAGAAGTTTCATAGTCCGAAAAAAATGTGTAAAAAGGTTACACAGATTACGTATACCCGCGATGATAAATGAGTGTGAACAACTCCTGTCCTGGCAGAATTCCACAGACGCGGAACACGTATTAAGGGCCGTTAAGTCCCTATTCTAGTTTTGTAAAATCGTTGAGGGCGCCCTCTGGCAATCACTATAATTATTTTAGATTCCCATTTTATGCTTTACAATTCAAACCCAGGTCACTATTATATGGACTTTTTTTGTTTATTAGGTCAACAGCAAAGCATTCAAAGCTGACGGGGAACAAAAAAAGTACTTGCTGAGGCAGGTGGGATGGTGCGTTGTGTCCTCTTTTAGGAAACAGGTTGTGCATGGCAGCCATCTGTCTCGTAACTACTTTTGTTTTTTCTGGGATACCACAAATTTAAGGTCTACTCATGGGTATCCCTGTGGAACAAAACCTCTTACCGGAAGTGCCATGGACAACCTCTGTAGATAATGACGTTACGATGTTTACATGTACGCTTTCTTATGGCACTAGTGAGGTGAGGTGGGACCACAGATTGCGATATATATCTGTGGGTGGGACATATCCATCGAGCCCCATAGAAAAGCGTACATGATCATTGAGTGGCGTACATGTAAATTAAGCGTGACTTCGTGTTTTGTGTCTAAAGACCTTTTTCCTGCGATATCCCAATCGTGCTGGACCACCCTGTGTTGTGATGGTAATGAGTGGATAGTGTTGTGATGGTAATCTTCTTTTTTAAAAGAAATAAACAGCACGCAGCGTTCGCACTTACGTGCGCTTGCACGTGGTTGAAGCTGCCCGTAGGAATATGCGATCACCGTGGCCAAGGCGGTGATCTCAGGTGTGGTATTGTTTACATTTAGCGCACTCCGGTCACGTGGGTGAAAAAGGTCTATTGACCAGACTATTTTTAGCCACTGTAGAAATCCTAGTCACTTTCTGCTTTTACCGCAGAAAAACTTGTCTCACTGGCGACGACTGCAGTTTGCCTTTGGATGGGAACAGTGGGGGGGGGGTTTGGTCGATCGTGGGGGTCGTCTACGACGGTGCTGAAAAAAGTGCAATCAGGCAGACAATTCAATCAATATCATCGCCATCCTCGTATCATAAAATCCCAGAGAAGATCATGTGAGGTCTGCCTCTGTAGAATTTTTATTTTACCGAGAAATTTCAACAGTTACAACCCCAGGCCCCCGCCAGACACGTTGTCCCCTTCTTTAGAGAAATTTAAAGCACCGGGATTGTAGAAACGGTGCTACCATCTTTATGTGGGGTTGGTGTAGGGAGGGGTGATAATGGCAACTCTTTTAGGGAAGACAAAAATTTGTCAGTTGGGCAGTCATTATCAGACACATTTCCATTTGCCCACCCTGTATCCAAGACCTGGATACTCCACTGGATTGGGATTACCATTTTATGGCATTTCAGTGAAGTCTCCCACATATTCGTTTTGTTGGATCCACCTGCATGCCCTATACCATATCACCAATATGTAACGCTGCACCTAATGCTTCAACTTTTTGAGTTCATTTTAGGTGAGGGATGTTTTTTTTGTTATCAATCTAGTAATTGCCTTTGAAAAATTCAAATTCCGAATAGACCCCTCCTGGAAAACAGATTTTCACTCTTGGTGGAAGTGTTTTTGACCACCTTGGGTCGCGGGACGCCTTAAACCCGCTTCGTTTTTTTTTTGGGGGGGGGGATGTTGGAACATATTTCCAACATGCACAACACAGTACGTCTTAACGGATCCCCGTGGAGCGGCTATAGGCCTGGGTGCCTGTACGCCAGGTGATGCAAGTCAACGTTGGTCAGACATTTCCCCAACTGGAGAACATGGGGAGACCGCACATGCAAAACGCAGTGTCAATAACCTAATACACCACGTAAACTGTACGCTGCTGTTGTAAGCGTGTCATTGGATGCGTGCGTCTGTGCAAAGTATTCGTATCCTGGCACTGACATTCATGACTTTCATGCGGTATCACTTCATCTCCGGCACTCCTTGCATCGGCAGCATTGAGCATGGGCATGTGCTGGCGGCGGGGCCCAGCGAGACACCTAACACAAACCGGTCAACGGGAGGGCCTCAGCACACGCCATCTAGTTTGTCCCGAGCTGCGGCTATGCGCGCATGCCGAAGATTCCAGGGACGATGACGGGTAAACCCACGACTTGGCAAGAGGAGAAATTGGCACTCGGGACGAATTCAGTCGATCGCGGGGGACGTCTTCACAGTTGGAATAAAGATGATTGGAGGAGCTTCGGTGTGATTCTGGTATCTCACTTACGCGGATGTTTAAACAAGATTTCTCGGTAAAAAAAAAACTTCAGCCGGGGCAGACTTGATAAAATCTTCTCTTGGATTTTATGATAGGAGTGTGGAGACCCTTCTGCATGAATTACTCGTCCGATTTCACCATTTTCAGCACTGACGAAGGCATTGTGGCTTCATCGTGAAGTTGATCAGCATGACCAAGCTATCTTGTGAATGACAGGAAATATAGTTGTGTTTGGTGGTTTATTTCTTCCTTCGTGCACTGTCTACGATGGAGAATTGCATAACGGCTGTGATGGGGTCATATTACGGCGAATCCCGATGACCACGTTCATATGTGTTGTAAGTAGCACTTGAAGTGGAAGTTCACTGTTTAACTTTAAGATATTAATTTATCACAGTACATAGCTCATACAAGCCATGTTCATCTCCACTTGCTAAAGGGGGGCACATAATGTCTGGAGCAGTTGGGGGAGGGGAATGTATGCGCGCCTCACCGTTTCTTTAAAGTTATCGGTTGCGTTTGTCTTAGCTGTTGTGTAATTGTCTATTTTTCAAGCATCTGTAATCATTCCAGGGCTAGCTAGAGAATTTGTTTAACGGCCCTCCGATAGCCGTTGTCTCATGGCCTGCAATTTAGAAATCCAGGAAACTGACAGAGTCTAGGATATCTTAAACCTTCCTTCATGTATATTCACGCATCTATTCAGACATGCCCAACGGCCACGCTGATATTCCTGCATTACTTTCTTCACTCCGTCTTTTTTTCCTTGAGTTGGCATTCAGAGCGCAACATTTGAGCTCACGTTCTCATGCAGATGGTTTATTTTGCAAAGATTTGAAATCTTTAATTTCATCATTTTGACTGTTAACAGACGTAAAAGCAAGGAGTAGGGCAAAATACCGCCAGCTTTAAAATGTTATTATTAAAACGTACGCTGGAAAACATGAGAGGAAAGATATCACCCTCACTATTCTGCCCTTGTCTATGTGCGCTTGCGATTGTCGAGAAACGCTCACTAATAAAGTGTTCACTCTTACATGTCTGAATATTTCGACGCTCACACAACGGTTGCCGAACTATCGCTGTGACACGTGAGCCACTTGGAGAGCAGTTTCCAGAGAATAAATATTTCAGTTTAATATGGATCAAACACGACTATTACAAGTCGCTACATGACATTTACATAATGTTTTTGTGCACGTTAATTCCACTGTGACGAAACTTGTTTTTTTTTTAACAGATATTACAGGCTTTAACCAATTGTAAAAAAAAATACTTCCGAAATTCGTAATCGAAATATTGAATTGCAAAATATCATAGTGCCATGTTAATATCACACATATGAAAACTGCACGGTAACATTGCCCAAATATCAACGTGACTCCATAATAATTTCGAAATTTTATATTCCCGAAAATGGGTCACTTGGGAGACATTCCCATAGGAACGTGCACAAATCTTTTCAAACTTTACCGTCCCATAATTCAATATTCCGTGATCCGATCTTTACAAACTTTGCATGTTTTCCTTCCAGACCCTAATCTATCATCTCTCAAAATGTGGACAGAAAAAAATTTCCTCCTTTTGGTAGTTGGAGCATTAGGGAGACATTGAAATGTCTCCCAAATGACCGATGTCTCCCTAATGTTGAAAATTTACCACAAAATGTCTCCAAAGTGACCTATTTGGAAATATTTGTCAACCACTTCCTGAGTCATAATTATTTCCGGTTTAAAATTACTCAAAGCATGTATGGCTATGTACGGTGCATGTACATGTACAATACAAAATACCTTTAGGGACAGTGTCTGTTTACCGCACCTTACAGCTCACATATCGCGCTAATAACAAACAAAGCAGAATTGATGGCTACTGAAGCATAGTTAATTAGTCGACATCAATATCTTCCCGTCATTAATTCCAAATTACAATATATTCATGTCTGTCATTCTAATTTCACACGGACGACATGCACAGTGTATGAACTATAAGTAAAAACAGGTATCACAGCCTATACATTTCTCATACTATTAATATTTTATCATAATATCGAGTATTCACCCGGGAGGACGGCTATGGATAAGCTTCATCGAGCTGGTTAAAAAGAGATCAAGACTTGGTGTGTGCAAAGACTATTTTTTCCTTGGATCAGTCAAGGAACTGTACTGGCGTTTTATCTCGTTGGTGATGAAATCATTCACGAGCACTAGATCAATCATTGCTATCATTTCTATCCACAGATGTACGCAGACAGGCGCTGACCGAGTCGAAAGTCAAATTGGAAATGCATTCTGTAACTGCACGTGAACATGAAATCTGACAAGTGACGTATAAGTGCTCGCAAAGGCCACATTTTTCTACCATTTCAAGCAAAAACAGTATTTTGTTTCAAAAAGTTGTTATTTTTATTTACTGTAATTTCTTTAGTGTTCGTCTATGATCGGTTGGCTTTCGGACGAAACAGTGCTATTGCTCCTTGTCTGAAGGAGCCGAGTGCAGCCAGATTGAAAGAACCGCATTCAGTGGAAATAGTTTCATTTTTTGTTACTGCTGAAGGACACATAAACAGCTCTTTGCACATAACCTACGATAGCCTTCCTGACGTAGAGCTTCACAAAATTGTGCAATTAAACACAAATCCGTTCGTAGAGTTGCAGCATGCGTTTTTATTTTCAATATAACAATTTAAAGTAGGGTTACAATTTTTATACCATCACCGTTGCATTCCTGAAGCTGTTGGCTTTTTTTCAAGGTATTCACACGACTATTTTTTCAAGCATTCGGTAGACACCGGTAGGGAAACAAAGACTCCACTTGAGGAGTCAGGTTCGCAGGTAGTAACGTGCAAACCTCATCGTACTCCAGTTAAATCCGCACAATTGGATACCTGGATACAGGACAGGTGCTTTCCATAACCATGGCTATAAATATACAGTGTGGCTATTGGTTGGATTCGGCATCACAAAGCCGGTTCAACAGTATTCGTAAAATTCAAAGAGAACCCCACCAACAACAACTCGTCAGCTAACTAATCACAGAAATACTCCCAAATTACTATCTGCCATGGATGTCATGCCCTTACGAGGAATTAATCCAATTGATTTTCTAAATTGTATAAGCCGAGATGGGCCTGAGCTACCGTACAGACTTACAGCAAGCCTTGGGGCAAGATGACAGTGCAGGCTGAAGTTTGCGACGTAATGTGATAACTGACGTCTAGCTTTTGGCTTCAAGGAAGTATGTCAATTAAGAGGCTACTCAAGTGCATCCGCTGCCATCACTTCTAGAGGACACAGTGCGTGGAGACCTTCAAGAGGGAGGACACCAATGCACGTTTAAAATTGCTCAGGAGTCAGTGTCGTTGCTGACCTCATGAGTGAGGTCCTCTGCGGACGGATTGTGACCTGTAAAAGTCAAATCGACGGCCAAAAAACAAGTTTATACTTTCTTCGTTTTTGAACTTCTATCACACTTTCAAGTAACATATGTACACAACCCTTGAAAGCACCTCTGTAATGGACAAGCATTATTATGTGATGTTTCTTCGGTCGTGAAGTGCTTTTCCTTAGGTAGGCGGTACAAACCTTAATGAGTAATTCTATACTACATTTTACGGGTTTTTGTCTTATTAATGTGTAATCAAGACAAGTATGGCCCTTGTCGACTGTATGGGATATACTCAGCAGACATCAGTGCAACGGGATGCCTTATTCTTGGCTTCAGTTGGCCCTATAAGGGATGGTTTCTCCATTCGACGAGAAGCCGTAGTTCACGGCTGTGATGTTGCCATACTGTGACGCCAAAAAACCAAAAACCAAAACAGTCGCAGTAAACGTTAGCACGATGCGCCCCTGGCAGACCGATATCGGTCTGAATGTGGATGCAGAAACGTGCCATATTAAAGTGTGAAAGATGAGGGGGGAAATATACAAAGCGTGGGCCTATAAAATATTTGTATATGGATAAGCATTTCAAGGATCCGGGAAATGAAGCTTTCTTAGAATCACTTATTGTAAATCTGTACTCTTCTTCCATGCATGAAGACTATTTGACATCTTTTTTGAGTTACGTGAACTGAACAGTGCACTTCTTTAACCATTAAAAATTGACCAAGCATTTCAGGACAAGTGAGGGCGCTTTTGCTTTGATGTAAATCCGGGAAGACATGGTTCAGGTTGCACGTTTTCATGTTCAAATTGTGAACCCCAAATTTGCTATCTGGGAACATTTCTGTGAAAAGGATTTTCACTGGATTATTGTCATATATTTACACAGCAATAAATTACCAAAGAAAATGAAATCTGCCATAGCAGTGGTTAAAAAATCTGGAAAGTTTCTGGAATCTGGAAATCCGCAACATTGAGATTCACTGCCTTGAATGACATCATAGTTCTGCTCATGAATATGCAAATACGCAAAAGCATAAAAAACAAAAAAATCAAAATATAGGTTAAAATTGCGTCACAAAATTTTAAAATCAAGTTAATTGAAACTCAAAGATGCAATTTCAAGGGATTTTAGTAACATTTATTAAAATATTTCTATTTCCTGGTTCCTTTAAAGTGGTTGCAGCATACATGCAACATTACCATCGTCCAGTAGGAATTTCCGAAACAATCCCGGCGGCATCACCATGTTTACGGTTGGAAAATCAACTCGTTCCCGTATTTATTATTATCAGCTACCGATATGAAAGTTATTCACATCCACACGTAGCGTATCCAATGATTCAAAAACTTCAGAACATGACAGAACACGACACAGCCACGACCAGGCGTTCAATAACGGGTAAGGGACAAAAGCGAAAATAATCGGAATATATCTGGCCTATAAGTTGTGTTTCACTTCCATGAGGGACGCCCCTGCCTTTGCCAATAGATCCGCACATATGCAGCAAGGTATGAGACAGAGAGAACCCCCCCTGCTTTGTGTTGGTCATTGTCTCGCAGGAATCTGGGGAATTCCTTTCAGACATCTTGGGGGGATGTGTTAAGTAACAATAGTCTGAAATGTATATAGGGATTGGACATGTGGGGGGGGGTACCCCTCGGTCTCATTTCTTGCTGGGCATAGATCCACTACACCCGCTTTATAATTGGATGGCCTCCGTACTTTATGCAGGTATCTGAGCCTGTGCTTAATGTAAAATGCGACAAATTATGTAACCCACTGTAAGTGAATACAGCCTACGATATTATACGTGTACATTATTCGCAGTTAAACATCTGCACAAGTTCCAACAAGTCGAACAAATCAAGCTCCCCTCGCCGATATCGTTGTGTCATTTTTCCAGCCGAGAGTAGGTCTAATTGATTATTCTCTGAATTCATGAACCATATAATTCATACTGCGGGTACGGTATCGCCGCCCCTGAATGGTGCTCGCTTGTGTGTGTCCGTTGATATCCCTTTCATCACTAATGTAAATGATATACCCATATTTTATGTGACTATGCCTGTGTAAACACCCTGCATGAAATGAATTTGGCAATGCTGCGAAATTCCTAGGTTACTACGAGGCAATTAAGTTACCTCAATATGGCGCCGAATGAGTTGAGGGGCCTTCTCACCTTATGTGGTAAGTTTGTGTTAGGGGAGCTGAAAGCGTGTTTATGGCGGGTGGTTTCTTTATTGATCAACATTTGCATTTGAAAAATAGTGATGTGTACACGTAGTCCGACACACGCAAGTGACAGTGGTTACTTAACTGTGAGCAGTGTCTGCAAATTATGCACATACATTATAATATTTGAACGATGCTATATGGTTTCGCCTATAGCCATACTCGTGTCGGCCCCTGCAGGTCAAAGCGAATTTGCCTTGGGGAATTACCCGAGCGTCAGAGCAGGTTTGAAGTCTGTGAATTTCTTGTAACACCCTACTCGGAGATCCTAGTTTGTTTTGTTGTGAAAATTTAGGGATATGCAGCTGTCCACAAAAGGAAACGTCCCCAGCTCCTCATATTGTGTGTGAGACATTTGGGAAACCGAACGGTGCTGAGTGTGATTTCACAGACAAGAGGCCTCAAGGGTCTCTGCGAAGACGAGATTGAATTTCTTTTATTGCGGGTGACTTTTAAAGGTGGGCTGTCGTCGAAACTATCACAGACTTCATACAGAACATTAAAAATAGAATTCTGGAACCATTGAAATAGTCAAAAATTCGCCAACCCCACTGCACTTCACCCTGTCTCCCATTTGGGGCTCCCACTGAAATTCTTTGACGTGACAGCTGACAGTAAAATAACTAGCACTGTTCAGAGTTGCCACAATAAGCAATCTGGCCTCCTTGCTCTGTGGTCCAACATATCCCCTCGTGTCGCCCACTCCCGGCTCTCATTTTTTTCACAATTCCCCATCCCCGAGGTAAGTTTACAGTAGACGAATAGGCCTATGTCACCCACATTTATTAGGTTCGTTTGGTCCAACCATGATCCATGAACAAGGTCATATATCTTGACAATGGTCGATTTGAAAGGTTAGTTTTCAACCCTGTGATTTTGTTGATTATGCAGTCACATATTTGCCTTGGGCAAGTTTCGTTTTCACAAAAAGCAAGTTCAGCCCGTCGTATATTGCGTGGCAAAACGGTGTGCTGAGTGCCATAATTCATTTAACTGGCTAGAACATTTAAAAGCCATCAGACACTAGAAGCAAAACCAGAACGGTGAAAATAACCGTCTTCGGTGCAAACTCAGAGTGGTTTTACATTCATGATCTATTTCACTTATTATTGTCTGTATCATTTGTTTTCATTTATAACTGATGAAGGCATTAATTTGGTGCAAAATATCCCTAAGTCGACTGTTATCTCACCGGAATTACCCACAGCCTAATTGATATAACCCTAAATGATCGCAAAATTTATTCGATTTTGCAACAGCCCAACAAAAAGCTTTGCTATACTCCCTCCAATTACGAACGGTACGTCATAAAAAATACTACAAAGGCTTCTCGAAGGCATGCATTTACACTATACTATTTCTCACGTTGATCGACCTCCAGCAAGTTTGACGCTTGTATACTTTCCAAAGAAAAAAAATAGCCGGAGGTAGAAGTAGAAGTATTGGAATACAAAGTGCAGCGGTTTCGAAGCAAGTAGATATTTTGTCCAAAACTTATTCAAACGGGCGCCTTCAAGTTTATGATTGTGACAAACCCTTCCAACACGTTGGTCAAAGTTGCCCGCATTAACCAACGGCCAGGAATTTCATTCCAATTATAAAATTCCTAATTTTACGACGAAGTAACTTCTCACTACCAGCACAAATAATGACAGGTTATAGCCTAGTCACCTTGAAAATGCTGACAGCCCGATGTAATTAAAAACTCCATGTGCTTTAGAGTGTAGCGACACTTGTTGTATTATTTACATCGTGTTTCAACTTCACCCAATCGATAAAATAGAATTTCCCAGCATGTGGCAAAGCCGGCCCAGCTGATGATCTTGACCTCTGCGGTGACGTCACGAGTCCAGGTCACCACGACCACATCAAAAACGTCACCAGTGCGAGTGACGTCAAAGGCCATTCCACTGTACACGCCTTGAACGAAGGACAATACAGTCCCCCATCCAAGACTTAATATGAGACAAAGCAAAATGTTAAATGCCGCCAGGATAGTTCTGATGACGGATGGATGTACATTTCCTTTGACGTACATGTACGTAGCCCTAACATGGAGCTTTTCATCACAAAGGACCTTTGAAAATGAAAGACAAACAAATCCCAGCTTCCGTCGATGAAAATACAAAACTGAAGAAATTCAGCCCGTCGGTCCAAGGGAAACTTGAGTGTCTCTCACTCTCATAAAGGTCCAATTGCTTCGGGCGTTTGGATTTGTAAAGACGGATTTTAATTTCACACTTTCGTCAGGATGGTTAACTTTTGTAGTCCAGGTAATTAACAGCCTCATAAATGTAATATCATTGCTTATGTAATTACCTTTTTTGAAAATAACATTTCATCAAAGCATTCAACGTGGTTCTTGTACTAATTACCAAACAGAATAATGATTCGAAGCTTGCCTTTAAAGCAATACCATCCCCAGTCTTGGGAAGCTTAGAAACAGAATAAACGCTATAAAAACTGTTTTGCTGCTCACTGTAATATGCCGTGTGGAAATTTTAAAAAACACCTTCTAAGTCTTTACAAGGGGAAACTTGTGATAGCGTAGAAGCTTGGTCACATGACTTCAGAAATTCCGCACAGCCAAAGGAGAAGCGCTTGTAAATGGATCAAGAATCTTCGATGTGATGATCAAATTGGGCTGCATTAATTCCAAGAGCATTTCAAGTTAGTTTCAGCCTCGAACAAATAGATGGTCATGCTTGGAAAATCAAATTACCTTAAAGACATTACGAGTTCGGTGTAAAAGCACGCCGTTGTGTGCCTGGCGTCTCCTGTGGCATATATAAATTTACTACTCAAGGAGATCAGAGAAATCATGTTGTTCTTTAAGGTTGCAACGACATCTTGTCAATTTGAGAACAATTTCAAAATCAAAGTTGCCTATCCTGTGCGACTCACAGACCAGTTTCTTGGCCTGAAAGTAGTGGAACTCCTCCCCCTGTCAAAATTTTGACGTGGATGCGGCATGCTTAGGGGATAAAACGTTTTACTGTCCCGAAAACCTTGGAATTTCCGGTTGTTAATCTCTTTCTGACATTTCAACATTTTAGCATTGTAAGATTGTTCTCCCCTTGTTTTGTATTTCTCTTTGATTTATTCTGTAATTTTAATGATACAACATTAACCCCCCTAAAAAAAACCTGAACCCGTTGATATACATACACAACAAAATCCTCACAAGTTGCCCCCGAGACGAGTTATCACTTGTACTCCTCACCATTGGAAACGCCGTTATAGCTGTAGTTCACCATAGGTTATTCCCAACAAAACTATAGTGCACTACACATCGGTGTTATCAGTATGAACATTTTGGGTGTTATTTCAACACTGTTGGTGTTACTTTTAATATTTCCCAGTGCATTATAACACTTTTAGGTGTGTAAAGTATCACCAGCGATGTTAAAGTAAAATATTTTGGTGTGGTCATCTGATAACACAAAATGTTATTGTTAACACCACAGTTTATGCAGTGCATGCAGTAATAGACTTTTTTTTCTGCAAAATGAGAAGATACCTTTTCAAAACCGAACAAATAGACATTATTTTCAGGGAATCCATTTCGATTTGGTTCCCAGAATCTTATTCACTGTAGTCTGTTAAATGAGGACGGTGCCAGACTATGTTGGGTTCCATGCCTCCCTTTCATTTTTAGAAAATGTGGCTTGGAACGTTTTGATATAATTAATCACAGAGTTTACATTATCCATTGGCACAGATGACATTAATTTATAATGAACATTTTTGCATTGCTTTTATTTTTAGTTTCCCAAAATAAACAAGTTAACCTCGCTTTCAATTCAATATGGCTGACTTGTGAATAAGGCAAAATTCAGTCATTAACAAGAGGCCAAGGTCTTTCATTTTCATGTCGAAAGCTTCCAGGCTCGAGTTAACACCAAACCTCACAAGGCCCATTCTTGCACTTGCATGCCGCGGGATTTCGTCTCACTCACTGATTAGTTCACAGGTCTTTGATAGGGGTTATTCTACCTACAACGTGATTTTTTCTCTAAATCTATCTTAACTTTTCTCCCTTTTTACATGCAGCTTATTTGTGCGGAATGATCGGGAGCGTTTCTGCTGCTCTACTATGAAAGAGATTCACAAGTCTTGTGCCATGGCGACCCCAACTGTACTGTTGCAACGAGCCAAACAGGTTTATTAAAATGCACAAATACTTTCGGAAGTCCATTCAGGCGAGGAAAGTACAAAAAAGCCAACGAAGGGAGAAAAGCTACGCCAGGAGTGTTCTTTTGTATTCCCTGACCTTGCAGTAAAAGCAGGATAATGGAAGTTGAGGCGGTCTTCGTATAAAGTAAAATGGTCAGGTCGTAAACTCGACATGTTTGTTAGGTTCTGTCGTTTCCACGCCTGCTGTGAGGGTATATTTCACACGAAGGAGGAAGGTGTTTGATAACTTGGACACGGGATAGTGAACTCGATGATTCAGGACGGATTTAAATGTCCCATTGCCGCAGTTTCCGTGTTAAAATATGCATTGGATTGCCATGGAAGACTCGGTGAATCCGGTCGAAATGTTGACGGGTTGAGAGGCGCGACTGACGGAGAATGCTGTAGTCGTCTCGCCTCGTCCTTGCCGAGGCTCTGTAGGCGTCAAGGCGAAACGAGTTAATAAAATGAAGAAGAGGTCGAGATACACGGGCATCCCTCGATCGAATGACGCTGACGGGGACATGCAGGATGGAGGGAGCTCCAGTCCTGCCACGAGCAGCCAGAGTGCCTACCAGAGCACGAGTAGTATGCAGGCTACCCGCTTGCTACCACCCACCAGCAAAGTGGTGGCTGCACTTCGACATGGTGACCTGGAGGGGCACGTCCGGAACTTTGGTCGGCACCTCCGGCGTCCGGGAGCGGAGGACCAAACGACACTGGATCAACTCCTCGACGGACTGGACGATCTGAGCTCCGTGGATAAGTACATTTACTGTCGGATCGTGCAGCGCCTTGCGGAGACTCTCTTGGAACACTGCTTGGGTTACCTGTGCACTGACGCAGGTAACCCGGATGTCTGTCTAGATCTGAAGATGCAGAGCGTTCTGAGAATTCTCTGGATGTCTTGTTTGTACCCCCCTGCTCTGCAGAGGATTGCTCAGGCGGGAGTAGACCTGATTCCGATGATGAACAGACTGATCTTGTCTTGTCTCAGAACATCTGAGAATCTTCGTGAGAACAAAGCGAACAGGCGGCATGAGCAGCAGAGAGAAAGGAAGATAAGCCGAGAGTCTGTATCGTCCGCTTCCGAGGAACTTGTCTTGTCTTCTTACAGTATGAACAGCGTTGTTGTCTCAGCTCTTGCCATCTCTTACAACTGTCTGTACGCTTCGTGGGATCGCGACGTCATTGTAGTCTGCTGTCAGTGTGGCTTCATCCGGACAGTAGTGAGTCTGCTGAGCCGCACGAGGAACATTATCATCGGAGAGACCTGCCTGCGAATCCTTGACCTGATGGGCCAGAGCGGAGGCAACACGTCCCGGACTTTACTGCGTGAGTACCAAGTCATGAAGGAGGCTAGCCGACTCTGGCATTACATGATTCGCAGGGATCTGATCACGAAATCAGGGTTTCTGGTAGCCGGACTGATCGCACGGCTTGGAGAGAACCTTCGGCAGGCGGACGGCACCTACACGGAGTGGACCTGCAACCCGGGCACGACCAGCAAGCGAGCCCCAGTCTACCGCACCCCCCATCTCAAGATGATCCGCTGGTGTTCTTCACCAGGTTGCAACCGGTCCGAGGAGCTTAAAAACGGTCCGAAATTCAGGCTGTGTTCGAGGTGCAGACTTAGTAGATACTGCAGCGAGGACTGCCAGAGATTTCACTGGAATCGAGGTCACAAGGTGGAGTGTTTCCCTCTGATGTCAAGAGATCATAGTGTCACTGTGCAAGAGGAACGCAGTTAACATCTGCCACATTAACTTTTAGCGAAATTCATAGATTGGACACTAAATATCTGACCATATTACGACCGCAAAGTCATTTAATGAAGCAGCGTTCATTTCTAGATACACTCAACACCATGCAGAACCTCTCAAACAAATTATAAGCAAAAAGTCCAATGAAATAAAACTATACTCCATCAATGCTATCATCACCGATTGTATATGGTTTCTGGAAAAGCTACTTGTATGAGAAAGGTGCTAAAATACACACCCGGTACAGCGTAACACAAAAAACACTCTATATAACGTCGGAGTGATCAATACCTTTATTTAAACATGTAGTAAACCAACTAGTCCAGATTTTTGCAGGACGCCGTGTTGTCACCACAGTTATCATAAGGGAAGCGGTCGATCTGAAAAAAGGTTCTCCTATTTCTACTTTTCAATACGACGTGTACAGTACTCGAATGCAGGGCGCTTTCCCTTACACTTCCCAATAAAGTATAGGGTACACTAGGGGTACGTTTTTCTTCCGAACTCTTCACGCACGTTGTGATAGCTTAAGAGGTTTAGGCATTCTTTATCAGCAATAAGGAGTAAGTTGACCGTAAGTTTGCTATATCGGGTGTTTTTCCTAGTTTTCTAGTGCCTGCAGTAAAAATATGGCAAGCTGTTTTGTTTTGGTTTTTTTTTGGGGGGGGGGTTACAAAACTGTAACAAATTGGGAAGGGGTAACAATTGGGAGATAAAGATGTGAAGTTCTTTCGCACCGGATGCTATCAAACTTTGTGTGCATAATCAAAACAATTAGTAGTTAATGCTGACTATATTGAAACCAGTTAACTACCTACATGCCTAGCTTGCTAATAGTTACTCACTGGTTGATTGCCTATAGCAGCGGGTTCTGCAATAATTCATGTACACGATTTACATAAAGTAAGTATCCAGCAATAGTTTGTCGCACAGTCGAAAAGGAGCTGTGCTGTCATAATGAAGTATTCCTGTACGTGCAGTTGGGGCCAACTAAATGTTTCATGTTGCCTCTTTGGATGGGATAAAACATGGCTACTCTTCAACGTACTCAACAGGAGTTCAAGGGAAGTTCACGTGTCTCAGTATTATGAAACTCCTGGCCTTCTGAATTTCTGTTATTCACTTTTTACGTGGAAACTTTAATGTTTGTTATTATAGGGGAAACTGCCATACGAGGTACAAATGTATTCCTATCCGAATATCTTGCTTTATACTATTAAGCAAAACTTAGAGGCTGTAGATTGTTGTTATAATAATGTTGACCTGTTTGAATTTTAAAGGTCAATGGCTGTATAGTTCAAATGCCGTGGAGCAATAATAATGCATGTATCTAAAGATGTTAGCGATCCTTCCGAAAAAATACAAACATCTCTCTGTGGCCTCCAGTCCAAATTAAGCTAATCTTGAATCATGGAGTTCCTGCTAGGTAAAACACAGCGTTTTTCTTTTATACTTTGATGTTAACATTTTTGTTGCGTATGACATGAATCATTTTGTATGACTTGAGATATGACAAGTTTGGTCAACAACTATTTTAACAACTTGAAAGTATTATACAGTCAAGAAATACTCAGTATTGGAAGGAGTTTTAAAGCTTTGGCTATGGCTATGGCTGTGGCTACGACTGTGGTCGTGGCTTCAGCTATAGCTGAAGCGAAAGGAGCGTGATAAAGATGTATGCATATCCGGGAACGAGTAATACAAATACTTAAAAAATTACATTTTTGTTTATTTTTCTTATAAAAAACATCTAAACAAATATTAAGGACCGAGAACTGCGAAAAGGGTGACTTGAACTTGCAATTTCTTCTTCTGATAAAATATCTCACATCAACACTGTTTACTTGGTATAATAAGGGGTGTACGTTAGATAGATGACGGTTTACCTAATCAAACAATGTGTGTGATTTCGCAATGATTATCAGTAACTAATGACTAAAGCATTCTGGTTTTCATATTGCAAAAGTTAATGTTCTTCCGGTGAGATTCAAAATGATGCAGACTGAAACCAAATTCCAAGTGTCTTGTTCAGCTTCAGTGGTCGTGGATTTCCTAACGGTTCATTTTATTAACATGAAACAAATAAAGACAATTGTTTGTACACTCGCAAACGATGTTATTGGTGTCATGACAACGTGGATTGGTAGTGGAGATCATAGTTTGAAAGATAGCTCTGCCCTTTTTATAGCGCTATCCAACTTAACTTTAATCGTAATCTGAGTGACGTGTGCTTACTCGGGATCAATTCAATTTTACCAAGAATTCATGAAAAAGTTTCTTTCACGTGATAACGGGGCCATATTTTGTGGTATTCATTCAGTGAAAGCATTGTGGGCTGACAAAAGTCTCATGGTCTTAGGCTGCTCTTGAAAGCGACCAACCATACACAATTGAAGCTATTTCGTATATACCGTCGGCTAACACGCCATTGTCGCCACAGTCGGCGAATTACTGGTTGCATGCGTCACGGAATGCTTGTCCAAAAGAAGGCACGAGTCATTAAGCACTGAAGCCACTTCACTTTACTGCTTTTGTATAACAGAATAAAGGTAGAGTTGTTGGACTCTAGGTGACAAATGATTGTCGTGGTTTTTCCCCGCATTTTACACGAAAGGGGTCGATTTATGGACGAGGTATGCATGCAAAGTATTTTTACATTTTGGCAGTTACCTAAAAAAAATCCTTGACCTTATTTAGCCTTCTGACTCAGCCGTAAAAAACCAGTTATATGCAACTGTCACGTACAAAAATCATATAATTGTACTTTTTTTTAATAAGCAATACCACCATTGGAATGTTACTTCTAATCAGTATACAACAACTAACACGTCAAAGGACAAAACCCGTTCATGGCTGGGGTCAATTTGGGGGGCGGGGCTAGTAAAGGTAGGGGACGCAGTGGCAGACCTAGCGGTAGTGAACCCCCCCCCGTCGGGCCGCCAAAGAAAGTTACGATGAGCAAATCAAACATCCTTGAACTCTATGCAAAGCTATGGAGGGACCGAATGTACACAAAGCTATGGAAACAGCAAATTGTACACAACATAATTATGGTAGTACATCTTCCTGCCAAATTCTGGGAGAGGAAGACTGCTACGGTGACTCATCTCCTATCCAACTTAGTTTCCAGATCCAACCTAAAAAGTCATGGAGAATGGGCCCAGTGTTGTTGACTGTGAGGTTGGGAAGTTAAACGTCGCGATTGGTGACAATCCAAGCTGTGCACACTCCGTTGTCGGAGAGTCAAGCGTTCAATTTGTCTTCATAAGGATCGGTAAATGAGCAATCTGACGAGGCTGCATCGGAATCTGTTGTCTAGAGCTACGCCTAGGTCTTCGCGCCATTGGAAATGCGTGGAGACGCGTAGACAATAGACCTAGCCGTAGCTCTGGAAGCCCGTTTCGGACACGGCCTGACCTGACTAATACACGCGCATTTGAGGACAATTCTCGGAGATTTGTAAACTCTGTTCCTTGTGAACATTTTCGGAAAAAAACTCTATAACAGAAAGGTTTGGGTTGAACACGGGAGCCTTTCCATCCCCCCTACGAATTCCGTATCACCGCCCCTAATCTTCCGTGAGGCCTCCAATGAATGTCTTTCTGGATTCTGCTCTGTAATCTGCACTCACTGGTACCTTTAAGACATGGGTTTAGCGGGGGAAAAACAGATATTCCGTTTTAGTTTTGCACTTTGTATGTGCAATTAATAGAACCTGGGGAAAAAATGAAACAATGAAGCCTTGTCCGAATCATCTGACGGAGGCCGCGAGCACACACGTCTATAGGATGGTGGCCGTAGCCGCTAGCAAGCGAAGGGCCACCTACGAGCGACAGGCGACAATCAAACTGGTTGAACAAGCGCACTGTATAAAAGACTAAGGCAATTACACGTACTTGTAGACGACGTCTTACACTGCATCATTTCTCTAGGGAGAAAAAAAGAATCGACCGAATATTAACTCAGTACGTGGTGCTTGCACCATGGATATAACCGAGTGACTGGTATTGACGTGACATCCACGATAATTAAAGAGCTAGAAAATCGAACCCTGGCAGTCACCGAGGCCGTGTTACCGCAAGCTGGGATAAATAAAACAAGATAGCATACGATAAAGAAAATCATCCTGCTTTCTGACTTCAATTTATACTCCCCAAGACAAACTCGTAGTAAAAAAAAAAATCAGACTCTTTTCTTGGAAAGAACTTCAGGCGCAGGATAAAGTTCTCCGGCACGTGTAACCAGATCCCGTGAAAGGAAGATTTAGCCATTGTGCTTTAGTTTGTGTACGGAAAGAACAAACTTGGCTCAACGCTTTGATGTGTCGGGCGGTGTGGTATATCCCTGACATCAAGTCCGTAGTTCTTCTTTAATTAACTCCCAGCATGCAAGATTCGTTCAAAGGCCTGTACCTCAGACACTGCACCGGCAACTTGCGACCTGGGACCTATTTATGTCACGATGACTCAAGCTGTCCAAAGACGTCTTCTCAAGGTTTAAAATTATGACTTGAAATTAATATTTAATGTTCAAAGTCAAAACCCCGACGCAAGATGCAGGGCAGGCCTAAGACGTGGACTTTATTATTTCCTTTTGAGAAAATCCTCGAGAGCCACGTTTACAGCCTTCCTTCAAGTCGGGTTTTCCCCCAGCGTGTTGTGCCAAAAGAAATTTGGCTAACCGCCATTGACGGGAACTGTCTCAATCGTGGACGAATAACGAGGTTGCCGGGTAGTTAGAACCATTTTCAGGCCAGCTCGTGCATCGTGAGCGTAATCCTCAGCTTTTTGCCCCTGCATGGAGGAGAGTACCCTAACGGCCCACAGTAATATTTAAAATTCATCATATTTGCTCGCAGTTTGGGTTCCGCAGTGTGAAACGAAAGGCCTTACAGGAAAAAAATTCGTTTTGCACTCTGCTGGCACAATAACTACATCATTGACCTTTCTTCTGATTTTGTACTCCAAATGTCGGGTTTCAAAATCCGCATTAAAAAAAGCTCATGATAAGAAAAATTTATTCGGATCGGTAGTGGTACATGTGCTCTGAACGAGACCAATAATGTTGGCAAGTATGTGTTTTCATACTGAAAGAATACCAGTACATAACAACTGCACACGCGAATCGTGTAAAGCGCCCTCAGTCTGCAAAATCGTCACGAAATGCAAGCTGATGAAATTCTCAGAACGTGAGTGTACTTGGCGTGCGGAGTTTAACGACAACTTCTTGCCGCTGCTACTTCCAAATGAATACTTGCGTTGTAATGTCAACAAGTGTAAGAAGGAAATCTTAATTTCAGTACCTTTTTTGTGTCACTCATGTTATTTTTGTTTTTTTGTTACATACAAAGTTTGTGTAGCCTATCAGTCCAAAATTCCCTTTCCTGCCTTGAGAGGCGTTCCTTTTATAGTTTTATACAACCGAACAGTGGAATACTCGTGTGGGGGGGGGTGGTGCTCAGGAGCTTGAGGCCCCTGCCCGCGGTTTGATTTTCTTTCATTTTTTTCCTGCCAAACAAAGATACAACATACACCCAGTTCTGATATAGCTGTACATGCCAAAGTCCCCTGCGCAACGGGGGGGGTTAAGCATCGTGGCCTATTTTGGGGGTAAATTCTGGTCTGACCCCCCTCCCCACCTCTACGACAAATCCTGGGTGCGTCACTGCAACTGATAGGCAGATCTGAAGTCAGAAATTTTACTACTTTAATATAATAGCACAGAAGTGAGGATTGCCAAGTGTAATAGAATGTGAGTTATTGGAATTTCATATGTTTATTTTACTTTGTTTTAAGTGCCAAGCTTATTACAGAGCCATTAGCCTATGTACAGCCTACTCTGCATCAGGACAACAGTATTTGTTGAAAATTGATTACAATATTGTGGTTCGTCGAACTCGCATACGCCTTTGTTGTCGTAATTCAAGAAGCACAGCTCCAACGAGTGAACAAAATCAAAAAGATTCGTTTTGCTTCTTGCCTGCTGTTTATGGCTCAAAGGCTGCAATTAGATTTCCATGGCTTGGGTCGGCAGGATCCCATGCTAATTGCAGCGCAAATGACTTTTAATCGCTGGTTGATGTCAACTTAATCGCCCTCCCAGGAAGTCTGAAGTTCTTCATTACTGGGAATTTCTTGCCGCGAGGAATAAGATATTCTTAATGCAATAGCTGCTCTGAGAAAATGTAATGTGAGGGAAATAATTAAATTTGCTTAATCTAATGGTTTTAATTCCCCGAAGTGTGTACAAAGGGAATATTTCCCAAGTTATTTTACACTCTGCACTTTCTTGCCTGAAGCATGGATCAGAACATGGGTCAGCGTACAGGAAATGAAGCCTCGTCCAACATAGAACATACACAGAAAACGCCTCGCAGAGGCCGCCTCCAGAAATTAATTTGAAATCAATTCCAAGTCAGGAAGTGCTACCAACTAGATGATATAGGCCTACGTGTATTTGTATTTCAAGAAGACGCATCCCGCATGAATGAGAAAAAAATCCATCGACGATTCTTGCTTGCAGTGGCAATTCCTTCGAAATACAAACTTAAACCTCTAATACATTCAACAAAATATGGAAACTAAAACGTTCGCCCAGTTAGAGCCAAGACGGAACGACCTTTTCTCTTTGTCGTTGCAGTGGTTTCTCGCACCGAGCCTTCAGAATGCGTTTTTCCAAGTGCGTGTAATGTCTCGCTCATTCTTCAAACGATGATTAAATTAACGTAGTAACGGTCTGAATTGAATCTTTACAGACATAATTGGCTTCACTCGTATGCCAAGTTTTAAACATATCGGGCGAGCAACAGCCGAGTTCGGCGGGAGGAAGAATTGACCCCTGCTTTTGCAATTCAATGCAATTTTAAGGTTTAAAAAAAGAATCCTTTCTGTGTGGGTAAAAAAATGAAGCAAGCAACCGAGTCCACAAAGATACACAATTAGAAAAAATGGAACAATTGTAACTGCGATTAGAGTTAAATCATCTTTATTCCGGCCGATGCTTACCTACTCCCAAACAATTCCGTGAGCATGAGTAACTTGTTTTCAAAGCACATTACGCATGTATACTCGTGATCTGCGTCATCCCATCTACCAATAGCGCACTTTGTCCTAAAAGCTTACCGAATATCAAGACACATATATCATATATTGTGATTCAAACGGTGAAACAGATGCCAAACAAAACAAAAACAAACACAAAATGAAAGGCAAGGTTTTTGACTGGGATATCTGCAAAGTTTGCATCAAGTGAATCATCTTTTTAGAAAGTCATGTACAGGTATGATAAAGGGGTATTTGATAAAGATAAAATTAACATTAATCATTGACGACAGATACTTGTCATGGTCAACAAAAAATATCCTCTTAGTTATTAAAAAAGGAGCAAAATCTTTGGCAAAAAATGAAGTTTCCCTTTAATGTACAGCCTACCTTCTTTGACATGCAAGGCTGATGTTGGCCCCTTTATCTTTACACAAAATCAAGATATTAAAGTTTATGAGCTTGGACAGTTTTGAGTATAATTAAATTATTTAAACAGAGTCTGTCACATCTTTGTCAGGGGCGACACTGGATAAAAATGAAATATCCATGAAATAATCTCCTGAGGTTTTGAGGGCCCCACAGCAGTGTAGGGTCTACGGCATATATTTGTGTTTGCCTGAAGGCACTCCTGAAAATACCCTTGTCTCGTATTCTCCATCAACTGTACCACATAAAAACACCTTATCGGTGAACTCGAGATTTTCTTGATTTTAAAAGAAAGTGTTTAAAAAAATCAGGAAAAATCACGACAAATCCCATCCATGCTTTATGTAGAACCATCGTGAAACCCTTGCTTTCTCGCTTACAGGAAAATTTACCAGAAATGTTGGATAACAAAAAGACGGAGGAGTGAACTTTTTTCTTCAAATCCTTACGTCAAATTCTGAATTTTTGGTCATGGTTTTGCCCCAGCTTTGGTGGTATCTGGGTTCACACCCTGTTGCCTTCACCTCTTAAGTTCATTGTTAATATATAAACATGACATCATTAAGCAATGATAATACTATCTCTTGATAAACAAACTCAAGGGGGGAGGGGTTTCAGATTGCATCGGAGCAAAGCTTGGCCCATAGTGACAAAATTGTACAACTATCAAGACTTACAAGATTCATGATTTGAGAAACCCCAAAAAAGGAAACTGGAATAACAGCCCATAATGACAAAAGGCATACATAAAGCTGCAGACAGTAAGGGTCAAAGAAAAATATATAGGGCCACTTCTTTTAAACAAAAAAAACCCCAGAATTGCACACTACTTCACAGATATCTGGGTTACATTTATGATAAATCGAGTACAAGATGCCTTATGTATCAGTTCTGTGTGTAATGTGATCTTATGAAGTTCTTGACAGGGGTCACACAAGTAGTACACAGGTAAACAGGATTCAACCGTTTTTAACGATGAAAGGTTGCTTACAGCAGGAACATATCTTCTAAGAAATTCCAGAATACTAGTACCATAATTATACTAATCACAGCTGACATCACATCATAAGGCTTAATAATTTAATTGTCAAAGTTTGCAGAAGTGCAGAATTTGGAACGCCAAGTGACCACTCTTGTAGAAGGGTAAAACGGTGCCGGAGCTCAAGCAAAAACCTCCTGCGTTTTCCCGTGACCGAGTTTTGAACTGGGCTTTACCTAACCATTGGGATATTACAGCTCGCCAAACGGAGAGTGGAGGCGTTACTCTCCTAGCGTCATTTTCTTGACGTCTTCCTCCACCGATTCCTTCTTGGCCTTCTTCTTCCCGCTGTCTTTCTGCTTCTTGTCTTTCTTGGCTTGAGGTTCGTCCGCCGGTGCTGGCTTCACAAATTTGATTAAATCCTTGTAGGCTATTGGGGGGGAAAAAAACAAGAGAAGCTCTTTCAGGAAAGAAACCGTGTGCGTGAAGGCTTTGTGCATTTTGATAGCCAACGTGATACCAACTGTTAGACACACAATGCTTTGGGTACACTTAAGTATTTACTGCAACTTAACAAAAATGATGAAGAGATTTAGAGTGTCCAACGTCCACCAACTTCAGGTACTATACACCATTAGTATCCTACTCACTTGGCCCTGAAACATTACTCAAAACCATCTCGGCTCCATGGGGAGTATGCAGCCCGGTCAAGCCATTTCAGGTACTAACTGGCCTAACAAGCACAGTATCATTCTCTGCCCTCACGGGTACCCATTTGTACTCCTGGGTGGAGCGAGGCAAGCAGGGGGTGAAGTGACTTGCCCAAGGCCACAGAGGTATGCCCCATCACTGATTCAAACCCCTGATCCATGTGAGAAAAGTCTCGCGTGAAAAACTCATCATGACCTCACTGAAGCCATTTTGAAAGTGCTTACAGTCTGGCATGTAGGGTTTCAAGGCATCTGGTACAGCAATGCCTTCATCCGTTTGATTGGTCTCCAAAATGACGCACACCATGCGTGTATTAGCGCACATCGTAGCATTCAACATGTGTACATACTCCGCCTATGGCACAATAAAGCAAAACGCACATGTGATATAACTTACAGCAGGTTGACTGGCAAACAACAGTAGCTTGACCGACTTGGTTGACTGAAAAACTGGCAACTTCAAAGCACCAAAGGTTTCATATTTGCAAGTACGCCCATGTGACCTGAGCAGAGGTCAGGGTGTAAAGGTCATACCACATTACGCAACACACGTATGTAGGAAACTCATGCGGTTTAATCTTGCATAGGAAAACCACACACTAACTTTATTTGAATTCTGATATTTCATTTTAAAATTTTTAAACAGTATGGAAAATATACTTCAATTTTTAAATGATACTTTCCTTAATACAGTGCATACATGTGCATTGTTGTAGTCGAGACCATCACCAGACCACCTCCAGTCTGAATTCAAGTCACAAGCTATTGAAATTGACTGCAACAAAACCATTCCTTTGTCAGTCTCCACCCTGTTACTTGTGTTGGTCTTGTGACTGGTCTTGTGACTGGTCTTGAGAACAACACTGATGAGTTGACTTCAACTTGCTGGTGAAAATTGTCTCCTATGACTTGTAACAGAATCTCTTAAAATGCAAAGATGAATATTTTGAATGTTTTTTATTCTTTACTGTGTTTATTGGTGAATTGAATCAAGTCACACCTGCTCGTTCATTTTCTTGGTTTGGCCATGCCGTATCAACAGCCGCCTGGACTGGTAGTCGGTACAGTTGGAGCAAGACACCAGCTCTCTAAATGCACCGGAGCCTGGGAACCAGGCCTCTACGTCATGCTTCTTGGCTGCTGCATTATTCAAGGCACCTAAATGTGATGATTACAATTCAGACAATTCAAAGCATACTCAAGGCTTAGCCTCTTTCTTACTCCAATCTCGACACATCAGGTTTGTTATTTACGGGTTTGGGATATTTCAGAAATGTTCATAAATGACGCAAACTGCACTGCAGTTTCATATCAAAATCTAGATTAGATACTGGCCTTAAATAATGTATGTATTTATATCAAAGGTTTCTGGGATTACTTCATGATTTGAAAATGTATACAGCATTCTTAACCCCCGACGTAATTTTATCCTTACAAGTTTGTCAACTTTGAAGTAAAATGCTCAAAAATCTGAGTTCATTACAGTCAGAAAGGTCAATGAAAGCATTAGAGATTGGGTTTTGGGGGTTTCAGAAATATTGTATCTGTAGCTTGGTGATGCAATTCCAGATGCCAGTTTACTGTCCCATATCCTTCAAATTCCAAAGGGGTTTTGCAGGATTTTGAAGGATGAAGGAGGTAGAGCGCAGCCACTATTACTTCATTTGGGACCTCAAGTGTAAACAATGTTCCATTGGATCCATGCCAAACTGCTGAACTTGAAGACTTGGGAAAGCCCCCTCATATAAAAATGTCCAGGAGGGTTGAGGTTTAGCCCCAGCAATAAGAACGTACCCGAGACGATGTTAACTACTCGATAGCTGACGCCCAACTTTTGACAAAACTCCTCGGCATTCTGCAACAGCTCGTCAAACACCTCCCAGGATTTGTTGTCCTGGGGCGATGTTATACAAAACTGCTCAATCTGAAATGCGGGAATTCAGATATTTCAGTGACATGAAGCATTCACTGAGATCACACGAAAAGTTCAAGACACACCAGATAAAGCAGTGGATATATCTGTTATGGCTTGTGGATTCTGTGAATCAAGGCCACTTGTGAAAGGGGAAGCGGTTATACACAACTTCCCTATGTTTCATCGAAGTCGCATTGTCATTGACTAAAATTTGACAATTCAAACATCAGGGACAAATGAAATGCCATCTTCTGTTGAGATTACCAACAGTAATTGGGAAGCATGTATCAACACGTTCAAACTAGGACGAGATAATCACAGATTCTTTTGGGAATCACAATGTCACCTACAACATGCTACATTTGTTCCACTTAACATAATTTAACGCATTTCAAGCACCTGTCAAAGGCCAACAGTAGGCCTGACGTGTAGCATTTAAGGAGGTGCACTGGAGCCACTGACCTTTTCGAACTGATGTACCCTAAAGATGCCCCTGGTATCACGACCATGTGAGCCGACTTCTTGACGGAAGCATGAGGAGATCCCAGCATAGCGCTTGGGGAGTTCGTCTACCGCCATCCACTCGTTCCGATGGTAGGCGGCGATAGGTTGCTCCGAGGTTGCTATCAAATACTTCTCTTCGATAGTCGCCTCCTCTGCCTTCTCACTTCCCTTTCCAATGACCTGCAGACGAGGAATGTGTAGAATATTGTGCAAGTGAGCCATTCTATAGGTCCAATATGTGACAATGCATCCAAGAATTTTTATTTGGGGGGGGGGAGTTGGATATAGGCAACTCTGCCTCACTGGCACACAGTTGAACCACATGAGCTGGTTGTGCCCCAAGCACAATTTCAGCGCACATTTCCCATAAACACCTCTTCGGTATCAAGGGAATTTTACAGACGCAGTAATCATTAAAACAAATTGCCCAAAAGCAGCATTGCTCGAGGGCATGAATATCGATTCGTTCATAAAGTGGTTGCCATGGTTACCTTGTAGAGTTCCTCGTCAAACTGGCTAAGCTGGGCCACCTCCTGCATGACTTCCTTGCGCATAAAGAACGGTGTATAGAGCGGCGTGTAACCTTTCTCATGGAGGAGCCGTAGAGCATACTGCTGAACGGCTTGAGACAGGAACACTGCTGGCCCCTGAAAGGTAAAGGAAAAGAGTTCCTTGACCAAGATGACAAAAAAGGTACATGTATCATTTATAAGACTCTGGGAAGAGAGCATTATATGTTTAAACTTCACATCCACTTTTTGGTTGGAATGGATTGTTTCCAGTGATTTATTGAAAAATGTTAAGCAAATCCCGAGGAGACTACTTATTATTTAAATTGTCAGCTCTGATGTCAGATGTTGGAAGTTATCTTTAAAACAAATCTCATACTGAACTTAGACCTTTGACCATCCCTCAAACAGTATCAACAGTCTCATTAGGTCACATGACCTCGGACTATCTTCCAGTCATGTGACCATATAGCAACCAATCAGTCTCAACTTCAACCCTTATCCTACTGACAGAAAACACCTGGATTGGTCCTACAAGCTATCATACATAGTGACTTTTTCTTGAAAAAATTTGGTTAAAAATATTTTACTAACTCCATACATCCCTCTTCTCAGAGCAAACTTTTATACGACTCACTTCAGCAAAATGAAGTTGATTCCCGATCACTATCCTCAGTAAAACTGTCTCCATCAAATTGTGGCAAATTGCCATCAAAACAGATGAAATAAACAACAGAATAAAATTATTTACACTGAAAAGCTTAGTTGAAATGTAGCATCCACGACTGTGCAAATACTGTACCTTGAGGAAGTAGCCCCTACTACCAGACACAACAGCCCCTCGATCCCCATCCAATCCATCTATCATGTGAATCAGGTCAACGTGAGAGTACCTCTTCTTAACTTGGCAATCTCCTACCATCTTGACGATGCCGTTATCATCCTGAAAGTCAGACAGGAAACACAGGAGGACTGTGTCAGATGATGTGTAATCCTGAATGAATGCATTAAACAATTCACACTACCGGTATTTGACCCATTTAGCATTGGAAAACTATGTTAGGATGACCATGAACATCAGAATGAACATTTGCACTGACTGTAGCAAGAGTGCTTTACAGCATTCATTTCTGAATTAAAGTCAATTCTGGCTTAAGGTTAACTTGCAGAAACTGTGCAGACATCTCTCCAATTTCCATGTTAGGTGTTTGTGTGTACGCAACAGATGACAGTACAGCATTCCACTTCTTAAGAAGTACAAATGACTGCTACAAGTGATTGAACATTCAAAAACAAAACTGACAACAGGGCCTTTTTACATAACCTGAGCAAAATAATTGGGGAAAGGTAGGAAATAAATGTAATATCAAATCTGCCTTTCATCCTTCACTTCTCCAGTCCTAACCCTCTGTCCTAGCAGCAACTTCTCACAGAAAGATGAAGATAAAAACATGCACATATCTTTAAGAGTTATTTGTATACCACTGACAGCAAACTCAACTCATACTTGAACCGTTAAAGGCACCCACATGTTCCTAGCCGGGGAAAAGCAGCTTGTTGTGGACAGGGGCTTGGCATGATCCACCGACCAAACCAAACACAAATTACCTGCTCAGTTCAAATGGGTTACCAGTCAAAATTCTTCAATGTACATTTAAATGCATTTGACTGGTACCTACACTGTAACTCAATTTTACTAAGCGCATAAATTGCTTAGCACTGATTTCCAACAAGCAGCACCATGAAATTGAGACCAGGTCAATTGCTGACAAACAACCACACCAGCATAAGGCCCCCCCCCAAAAAGTCTCCAATTTCTGCTCCCCACGCATGTCGCCGTAGACATGGTAGACCAGCGCATCGGCAAAATAAAGAAGTTTTTTATTTTGCATAAAATGATTTTAAAAAGCTGCCAAACTTACTTTATCAGCAGGAATTTTGCTACCGCGTAATTTTAATGCATTTTTGATGGGTGGGGTTGAGTAATATGTATGGTGAAGAAATCCCCCTTGGACTCCATATATTTCAGTCGGGCACTCTTATCAGATGACGTCATTCGTGTATCTTTACACGAAGGCCGTGTCCAAATCAGTTGGCTACGGCTTGATATTGTACATGATTCTATGGGAACTGGCTGTGGATGCTGCCAAATGCTCGGTGTAATTCCGGCCATAGCCAATTGATTCTGACCTGGGCCCATGTCTGTGAACCAGACAAACGAAGTGGTCTTATGTCTTGCTTACATATACAAATTGAAAATGCTTTTAAGCAACAAACTTTGAGGGGCCAATCTATTCCAGTGCCGGTGAGGCAGTGACGGTACATAAGCATGCAGTGCATGCCGAGTGCAGGCAGTAAGGATGGACATCGCGTTATGACAACCATACATGTAACAACTCATGCATCGTCACTGGCCAAGAACAAAGGTAGATTAGAGTGAGAGGAGATTTTATTTTCTGAGCTGAATTTTTTCCCCAATATTTCATAAGCAACTTGTTTCTTACAAGCTAAAACAGAAAACAATGTGCACAGTGCCTCACTTACCCCATGAGAATTTTACTTTCATTTTGACTCTGGAACTGAACTTTTTTTATTTATTTTTTTTCATAGTCGATGTGCAACTTGTTTCCTCTAAGCTAAAGCAGAAAACAATGTGCAAAGAATCTCATGTACTGCTACCTCCTGAGAATTTCATTTAAAACCAGAAACTGGAGCTGAACATTTATTTTTCACATCTAATTTTTCCTTTGTGGTTGTACTACTGTATTTTAATGAGCTCAATCTTGCCAAGAATAGAAGCCTTTTGTCTGAGTGAGATGACTGAAACCGTTACCTCTTGTCATATTTTATGGTCTTTTTATTAATTCAAAGGTGTTAGCAAGGCCATGCGCTTTAAAGCATATGTGCATGTACCTAATTTCTAAGGAAAAAAAAAGATGAAAAAAAAAAAAACCTGTGCCACCGCACCACATTTGGACCAAGCCCATGACTAGAAACTGGATTCTTTTGTTTTGGCCTAACCACTGCCACCACGTCCTAACCACAGGCAAACAAATCAGGAGGTCAGGAAATGGGAAATTCCAGCTTCTGAGAAGGGAGGGAAACTCCGGGAAAATGAGTCGGGCCTCTTGCACATGTCTAAGCGAAACTGAAACCCTTAAATCCACAGTTGCCCTGGTAGAATGTACATGCACCTGTACGTCTTGGATCTGGTCTAAGATCATCAAAGATTAATTGAACCTGATTTGAATGTATGTGGGTTCAGAAATCAGGGTTCACAATGCTCAATGTTTTAGTTGCCCTGGAAAGGTCAAAATACTATTGAAAATTCCACTCAATGTCAAACCACATCTGACAGGTTTTGGACTAAAACCAAACATGAGGATTTTCCATACCTCAGATTCAGTAAGTTAATCCTGTTCCTCCGTCAAATATGACCGGATTCCATACAATGAGTCCATATCATAGTTACTCCTTTCTATTTTTCTTTGAAAGAGAAAAGTGAGCTTGTTTTCATGCACCAAGCTGTTTGATATCCTGATAAACATTGAAATTACACGTATGTGGATGAAAAATGTTGGGGGCTCACATTGATTCGTTTGAAGGCTTTTAACTTAAGAGTAGCTCTGGCAACTCTAGACCCATTTTGTTAGGCAGGGTCAAAAATTGTCTACCATGAGGTCAAATCTAGAGCATCTGCAACTATTTCCATCACTCGAAAATGATTCTGCAGCAGCTGTAGTTGAAACCGCATGCATAGACAAATTCGAGAATCAGAAGATGGAGGTGGTTTTAAGAAACTCAGTCTCGGCTGATTTGATTGGCTGAATGTAACACAATCTCATCTTTCTGTACCTCATCGTTACTGATGATGACAGACTCGTGCAGGAAATTGCCAATCTCCATCATGTTCTCCTTGCGAGTTGTCTCACACACGACGCGCTCCTCATTACACCTAGCAATCTGCTCATCAATGAGCTGCCTGGCCTTCTTGAGTTGGGACACGGACAGCTCCTGAGAAAGGTCAGAGGTCAACAGCAGTTCAGTACAAAACAGACAAAAAACAAATCTTGACAAAAAAGATCACAATTATATTTGACAAATGTCTGTGTCTTTCTGTAAACTTGCAAAAAATGGAAAACCAAACCAAAAACAAGGGCAGAGGTACAGTACATGTATAGTATGAAGCCATAAAAATAAATATGAGCATGAAATTTAGATCTCAATGAGACGGGGGCTTTGCTAAGACTACCAGTCCTAAGATTACCTTCAAATCTTCTGCAATGCAATCATTGAGGGTCTCTGCAATCTTTGCTGGGAGTTGCTCATCTTCACTACCAACCGGCTCCTTTTTCTGCAATCATACAATAAATGAACCAAACGATTTCAAAACTGGGTTTGAAACTTTGAGAGGCAGCGGTAGCAGGTAAACCACTCTATGTTCACTGCGCATTTGAAATCGTGATCTTGCTGGGTCCAACACTATTTGGTGGCCGGTCATCTCAGCAGCGACAACATTATGAATTCACACAAAACACAGCAAAGGGGGAAATACTGTCACTGTAGCAGTGCTTGCCTGATGGTTTTACATTGTTGCCATGACCTGAGCACACTACGACTTGATCTACAATTTAAGAACAGAAATCAATCTTTGTTTTCGTTTTTGGTCACTGTCTCAGTACAGATTCACTTGTCAGTGTGGAGACTGGGACTAGAATAAGAACAGACACTGACTTCTGTTCTTAACATAATAAAATGAATGTCCATTTTATTATCAAAAATGGATATTAACCCGTTTTCTATCCTTTTTGGACGACAAAAGAGAATTTAAACTTTACCAAGAATGAGTCAATGGTTTCATTCCATGTACATACTGTACATGTAAAGACTGCACAATGATTCATATTATGTATGCGTGGGGTTATTTACATATACATGTAAGTACAACAAAAATGCATTATGCATAAACTTGGGGAAACACTGCCAAACGTGACCAGCTCCCGTTATCTACTACGCCTCGCGTCATTAACAGAGAGCTGGTATTGGGCAGCAGGAGATTCTACCTTCATTTTTTCGCCGATGGTCCTGCTGCAGAGGTTCTTCATCTTGTTCAGGTTGTCAGCTTCATAACGCACTGGTGGCAAAATGAAATGCAGCAGGTAGATCAAGAGGCACATTCAACGTGAAAGTCTTATTGTATCCACTGGTAAAGTACATTAGTATCCGAGGAAAATTTCTGGAAATACATGTAAGTACAATTTTAGCTGGTACACCCAAATACATAAGCGTATATTCAATCATCAAAGGGGTTCCTGTCTGAGCTGACCAAGTTGCCTGTGTGGCAAAGTAAGAGTTACTAGATAATTTTCTTCAAGCCATGAGAACAATACCCACTTTCTTGCTTAGAGTAGAGTACTCTTTTGCCCTCAGTATTATTTTGTATTGTACTCTTCCTGCTCATGAGAGGGCGAGTACTGTACTCCCTAAGAGTAAGAGATGGAGGAACTGAGTACTGACATCATGCGAGTTAGTCCTCTTGCCTTCGTAAATATGACAATACTTGTTACATGTATTTCTCTTGAAAACACGGTAAAAAAAAAACGCTTAGTGATGGCCATGAACTCATATGACACCATGGACAAAAATCACATAAGTCCATATCGGCCCGTGTACGGCGGCATGTGTGAGGCTACAGTGTCTTTAGTATGAAGAATTCAAATTGTTAGGTTCACATAAATTTAAAGTTAACTCAGGGTACCAGATTTTGTTCAATTAGAAACTTCCCGAGAATCGAAACCTAAAATTCCAAATGTTATTCATTTAACCCTGTACAAATACTGTGTACCGGGAAAGCCTCTTAAATGTCACTTGAAAAAATGCCCGTGTTTCAAAACTTGCAGAAAAACCTCATGTTTTGGGGGGGAACTTTTGATGAGGAGTTCAGTTTGAACGTTTTGTTTTGCCCTTCCCCGGAGTTCTTCAGTTCTTGAAACTTCAGAGAAATTTCCTTTAACTACCAAATCACTGGTATATCCCTAATGTTTGCCCTGTAACAGTGTGTTGTTCTAAAATGTTTGATCCAAATGTTTGGTCATTTTGGGAAAGATTGCACTGAGAAAGTTTCTGCTGGGATCAAAAAGTTAACCCTGTCACTTTTTCCAAATGTTTGGTCCAATAACTGAAACCTGTAAGTACAAGTACAAGCTAAGCCCTTTGTTGCTGCTTCTTTATAGCAGTAAACATTTCCTTGAACAGCTTGGAACTCCGAGGTTCTCTTAAATAACTCTTGCATCAGACCTCAACGTCAACACAAGCAGGTGCGCAAAGTGGTATGTGTTACACTTCCTCATGGGAAAAGTTGGCATCAGGTGCATGTTAACAATGCTGATGCAATCAAGTGAAATGCATATAAAATGCAAGCAAAGACAGTACAAATACTCAAAACTATGCCCCCCTGCACAGAACAACTGAAGAAAGCACACCAATTACTGGCAGACTTTTGACATATGAGCATGGTCTGCTCTCAGTAAAATACTTATTTGTTTGTCTATTAAGGGTACATGTACATGTGTCTGTGTTTTGAACAGAGTAAGTCTTTGGGTTCTAAACTGGGGTTGGAAAACTTTGTTCTTGAACTGTTTGCTTGACAGATGCACATTGTACACGTCATACATTTTGTTCTACAATGTCTTTGTCCTGTAAGATATCCCATATCCACACTCCTCAGCCATTCAGGAGAGGGCAACTGACCACGCATATTTGAGTAGTCCTTGGAATTAACAATCATGATTTCACAAGTAGACATCTACATGTTGCTACATACTGCTACAGGATGTACGGTATCTAAACAACTTTATTGTACAACACTGGAAAAAAATAGTATACTCTGTATTTAAGTACTTCTTTTTTGTTCTCCAAATAGAATTCATCTGAAATTAAATACCTGGTACATGTAGGCCTATTACAATTTATTATTATAAAGCTACATGATATTGTTATTTCTAATGCTCAAAAAGCTTCTCAGAAACCAAATTAGTGAATGCTGTAAATCCCCTGAATTTTGAGTGACATAGGAAAACAGAGATCTGATAAAAAAGGACCCCTTCTGGAATTTCCTGCATTGTAACAATGCAAGGGGAACTCCAACATTTCCAGCAGGTGTGAATGAGTAAAGCTCCATTCTATTTTTGACCAGCTGGCCCACTTTAGAGGAATACCTGTAAACTAGTCGGGATAGAACTCAGCGTTAGTTGGAATATTATGCCAAAATGTAATAATATCAACTCCATTTAGAAACATGTACATTGCACATGTATAAATTTAACATGTTTAATTAACAATGCTTTTTGTCACAAAGTTCCACATTTCACATGCAAATGATTCCATCCTACATGTAGTACATTACTCTCTGTTCCATGGAAAGTATGCATTGACCCTGTACATGTATGAACATGTGTACATCTGATTACAATCTTTTTTTCAGATCAGTGTTAAGTTATGTAACAAGAAGGAATTAACAGGAAAATTTGCACTGGTACATGTACGACTTTGTACGTGTAGGCCTATTTCCATTGTCCTTATATTGGCATATTCAGGAATTCTGAGGCCAATGTTGGTTTAAGAAACAAGTAAAGTACATGTTGTACCGGTAATTCATAAGTCATAACTTTTGAGGTTTTCTAGCAATAATTAAGAAATTCAAAACTGTGTCTCAATTGTTTTTAAAGGTAATGTATCCACTGCTGCCACTGGGTTTGAGTGCATGTGAGTGTACTCTCACACTGCAGAGAATGCTTTATTTACGTGTGGCACAGCGCCATTCTCATACCAGGCTCTGGCTAGCGGTTCTTGTGCCCCCAGCGTACTAGTGCCTTTATACATGAAGTGCAATCATGTACTCAGGACACAGTTCTGTATACAGATGTACATACGAGCACCCGGACCAAATGGCTGGTGCTCGTCCATCTTGACGATCAGGGAAAAATGGCAACAAAGAGCCCAGGGTTTGGTCTGTGAGACCCAAAAACATTTTGGTCAAATACCATTTCAACCAGTCAGGCTGTGAGGGCGGTTTGGTTACGAATTACATAAATGTACCGTATTCACATACATAATACATGTACAAGTACAAGTACAGGAGGTGGCTGCAGCCAACGCACATGTGTACATTGTACGTGATACATGTACATGTAGCTAACCACTTACGGTACTTGTGGCTACTAGTACCTGGTACATGTACATGTCCACTTCATGACTCTGACATGTATATCTGATGAGGATCAGGAAATTTTTTCCATCATTTCTGTAGAGTTGCCATAGATTCACCCCAGCTTTTTTCTTGGTACAGCTACATGTCGACCACATTTGGGAGACACTTTGGGGTAAACTAAGAAGTAACTTTATTGGAACATTCCCACTTAAGAATCCATTTTCATTTTTCATTTACCAGGCAAAAAAAAAGGACTTCTTTCAAAGGGGTTTCAAAAAGTGGAGAGCACAATAAACTGGGTAGCTCTAGTGGTACCGTACTTGTACTGATGGCATCTGCAGGGTAAAAGTTACACAGCCATTCAATTGGCTACACAGCCTACAAATTCAAAATATAATATGGGCAGACATGGCAGATACATGACATCATCATCAAGTATGATACATGTACATGGACTACAATCCTGGACAAATCAAAATGCCTCCCCCTCGCCCCCTGTCAATGTTGTTTCTCATTGGGTTAGCTGGGCTTAATCTTGGTCCAATAAATGACCTCAATATTGAATGGGGGAGCGGGGGGATCTTTTCACCGCGCTTCCCACAAGGTGTTCCAACTATTTTGTCCAGGATTGCAATATCAACAATGAACGTACAGTATGCACGGTATGTGGATCGACTTACACTTTCGCCATTTGGTGTCCGCTTCGACCACTTTGTCCACCAAAGTCACATCCTTGTAACGCTTGGCTTGATTCTCCTTTATCTTATCTGGAATACCTCCCTTGTCAGCACGAAAAAGCTCTATGTCTAACACCATTTTACTGGCAAAACCTGTTCCGAATGACACTGATTAGCACGGCTCCACACAACGGACACTACACAGTCAGAACGGCTCAGTAGTGTACTGATGCAATACTTTCCACTGATAATCAACCCAATGAGCAACATGTGCATGTGAGTCTGTACTCCCTGAAACCAAAGTTAACGGTTGAATTTGTAGACGACAGGGATCTTAACAAGAAACGTTCGCGATAGGTCAGAGGTCGTTGATTTAGCCGGTCGCAACAGCGCTCATGCACATAGTACACCGTATCCACGGTAAAAGGCGCGGCATGTTAACTTGCCATAGACTGACAACATGGATAAATACCCTCACTTCCAAAACATGAGAAAAAATCCTCACAATTTTCTCAGGTTTCAAGACACCCATCAGATTAAAGCTCATTTCCTCATCTTACATTTTAGTTGCTTACCGATGACTTGTGAAGTTATTTCTCTATCCGGAGTCGGAGAGGAGCTGGATAGTCAATTGTTTAAAAGTTTTCTTACTGAATTTTTTATGTCTTGTCAAAATTTTACTCTCCTTCTTGTTTTTTATTATGTCACTGTATATTGTAAAGATCATGTACATCTCAAAATAAAAAAGAAAATGAAGTGATCAATGATCATCCCTGAAACAGTCGTGGGGCCCAATGCATTTTTCACAAACCATCCAGTCCACGGGTCCACAAAATGCGCTTGACAATATGCAAATCGGGATTTGGTTCGCGCAGGCAATTACTGGCCTTCAATTAACCATGTGTTTTATTCCTCCATGAATTAAGCGTATGACGCCATCGTCTACGGTTCAAGATGATTTTCCCTGTACAAAGCTGTCATGAACGGCACAATGTACTCAGTGGAAGCAAGCCGCATTCCACCGAATTACTTGGCTACGGCTCACACACACACTCCTACGGTAGCCTCTATTGGGACTTACATGCCTCACACGCTGTTGGCGCGGCGTTCGCCCGGGATGATGCAATCATTGGAAATATTGCTGACTCGCGCCCGCCTAACTAGTAGGAATGAGTACGAGCCATATTCTGTGAAGCAAACCCCTGGGAGGGAAATATGAAAGTGGCCTTTCCCTTCGCCCCCCTCCAACATGAATATGAGAGACGATGAAAAACGGGGCTGAGGAAGCCTAGGGTAGGCCTATCTAGTTTTAAGAGCCTCCTCCAACCTCCTCCAGGCGACTGGCGTTTTTTGTGTCGAAGCAAATTTGTAAAGTAATTCAAAGCGAAAAATTTTGTAGGAAAGTTAATCTCCTCTATAAAGAAGGAAACTCCTTCCTACCGAGTCAAACTCGAAAAGTGCCAGGGTAGTTGCAAGTACATGGTTTTTTTTGGGGGGGGGGACTGGTGGGCGACGGCTGTTGGTCGTGATAACGCCCTCTCGCGTTCTCGTGAACGACACCTTGCAACTAGGCTAGTGGTTGCTGTTAGTAGCGAGTCCAGTCTAATCACCAGACCATTATGCTCTGTCGAAGAATAATTTCAATGTCCAGTGTTACTTTGCACACTTGGCATCTAATATTATGATACCGGCTCCTCTTTGCCAAGCCCTCTTCTAGCGAATAGCTGAGTGAGATAGGGTCGGTTAGAAACCACATCACAATTCCAATGTACGTCATGCATCTGTCTGGAAAATAGAACGGAAGCTCATGATCTATTTGCAAAAAGCCAATCATTACTTTCAACCGCGGGGAATAGTGAGGCCTTTTACTCTTCAGCACAAGGTATGGGCGACATGTTGTAGGCCTACGTCGAAACGGTGACGTCACGAAGGCTATTCGAATCTGTATCGAAAAGTGGTGTGGAAGAGTTGGCTGGAGTTTTCCAGAAAGAAATAGTGGCTTAGATTTTTGAAGGTAGCATGTAACTCCTCGAGGGCTGTCGCTCAGTGTTCTTCCAATGCCGCACGCCAGTCCTTTAGCAGCGTGGCATGATATTGCCTTGAGCAGAAGCACCCCTCATCGTTTAAAAAGAGCCCTTAACGCTTGCCATTCGTAGTAGTTTGTGAACGAGCGAAGTTCAGTTCCGACCGAAGGAGCCGCCGTTGCTAGGAAAATTATGCCCTCTCTTGGTCCAGCTCGGGGCTCATAAAATACAAACAAGGCGTAGGGAACAAACCTGTATTTCGTTCTACGTGGCAGGACCAGTGTGAAACAAACTAAGGCTGGTAGTCAGTGAAAAATATTCAAATCACGTTACGGTATATGAAAATAACTCCCTTTTAAATTACATGGGGGAGGTTGTTCTTTAGAGACAAAAACCGATGATGACCAAGGAGTACTTTCAGCAAACTTTTGCCTCTCATACTTAACAGTGAGAACGTTTGTAAACGAGAGAAGGGTTAATAACTATTAACAGAAATATGAAAAACCTTACTTTCAAGCCAACATGACTGGGGCAATGACTATTGTTATTCGAGACTTACATTCTGCACCAGATACATATGATCTACTTGTAACAAGATTCGTTTCACGTGAACAAGCAGGTTTTTTTGTCACTAACGCCATACATTTCGGGGCACAGGCCCATATATGTATATAGACGCTGGTGAAGAAAAACCTTTGCACGACCCGAACGGCCTCATTATCGTGGGAAAATGAGTTCATCATGTCGACGAACAATGGCACGCTAGGCACTAGAAGATAATCTACTGGCGAACCGTTCAGCAGGAATTTTGAATTTCTGTTTGTGAATAAAATTAATAAATAAGAGGCTTGAAATGACATAAACCTACACGTGTATATCGCAGCCCTTCAGCAAATAAAATAATTGCTGTTAGAGTGACAAATAGACCTAACTGAGGCTGTTTGTTTCCAGCGCGAAAGGTGAAGTCTACTGGTTGTCCAAGTTATGCTCAGATGTGTGGCCATAAGTGTGCTCATAGCCACGAGAATAGAATCAAGGGTTTGAAACTTGGAATGAAGCTGATAGAAGTAACAGTATCTCAAAATTCCAAGTAAACTTGGTTACAATAACATACTCACTTGAAGGACATTAATAGAGCGTGACTTTAAACAATTTCCTGTTATTATAAGTTTGATGTCGAGGAAGCTGAAATGAAACCTTTCTTTGTAAAGTTGCCGTATCTTATTACCGACAAAAATTCCCGCCGTTTATCATGAAATCTTATTCCTGGCATCATGTCATCCTTTTGTGATATGAAGGCGCCTTCAAAAGTCAGTTTGGTGATCCTAGCTTTAATGGGGATATGTCTCATTCAACCTCCAAACAGCCACAGTCACAGGGGAATAGATAGGACGCGACGAGGGCGCCCGCTATGCCAGCCGTGCCGGCGGTTACCACCCCTTTGAAGCCGTGGATGGTTTTGGCGCCGACTGACTGCACTGTGGCTCCCATGGCTGCTCCCGCACCCACAAGGGGCGCGATATAACACCAGTTATCAGCTGCGAAAATGAAGTAAAAAAATGGGTCAGCTTCACAGAGCTAAGTCTACCTAAGCTCAATGGTCAGTTTAATAACCCTCCTCGGTTCCATAAAACATTCAGAGTATCATTATAAATATTCAGGGATGGACGTGCATGTATGAACTCTTACTCGGACACTTCCGTTTCATATTTTGTTCGTTATTTTAAATTTTAAAACACAGGGTGATCCTGTAGCTCGATTTTATCAAGTTGAAATAAAAACAAAGTTTGTAAAAGAACGGCAGAGTTTTTGAACCACAGCTGAATTTCGACAAGTAATTTAAGGACTTTACTTTTTATAACCGTGTTCAGCTTATAATGAGTAAATCTGCTAGGATTAGCCTATACCTGCCACTGCTTGGACCATTAGCAGCATAAGTAAGATGGAGACTCCGCGGTTTTTCATTGGGACAACTCTTCAGAAAAGTGGAAGATGAGCACTGTGGACAAAAACACGATAAAATCAGATAATCGATATTTGGCTTTCAATTCGCTTTTAACTAATGCACGTTAATGCACGTTAGTGCAATGAACGAATACGCGTTCAGATTGACAGTTATCCGACAAAAAAAGTAGTCAGATCTAAACAGGTCACATGAAAATGAAGGTTTCAGTTAGAATGCTTCCTCACGAGAATTCATCAGTGGCAATTCACTATGGACAATTTGAAAAATATAAATCATTATATTTTTTAACAATAAAATCCCCAAATTCCAAAGAGAATAAATCCAAAGCACACAAACACTGGATTCACTTTCCCTGACATAACCATCCACTTTGCTTTGCTTTGCAGCTTTTTAGAATGCCCACAAATACAAACAAAAACATCCGCCTTTTAACCATTAAGAAGCTTTCTAGATAATGACACAAACTGTTACCTTTTAGAAAACTAGTTGAGATACCCTCTCCAGAGACGAATCACTAACATCATCCTAGCTGATGTCAACTGTCTGCCACCGACTTCAGGTTTGATACAAGTGAATATAACTCATAGCCGGCTAGCATAGCTTGTGTAGCATAAAGCCACGTAAGCACGTTGGAGTTAAGGTGGCAATCTATCCAAGCATTAAATTAGAAAACTAATTTCGTAATAAATACAGGTACAGAAATTAGGCTTTGGTCACAGGCCGAGTTTAATACCGCTAGGTTATTATAAAAGGAAATTAATTATCTAAAGATGAAATATGCAGGTATGTCTTTTGCACTTCCACCAATGAAATGTAGCTTGACTCCCTTTTGGATAATACAGTCATGACCGTGATGCATGAGTCGTAGATCACTTAGAAGCATTTTTTATAAAAACAATAAAGGTCTGTAAAAAGATTTACTATTTTGAAATTCTCCAATCTAGTAATTCTCGTGCAGTATTAGTGATTCAACCGAAAACGACATAATAGTTGCGTACCGTTATTCTCCGTGCAGCACTTAAGTACACAATAAATAAATTATGAATAGATGTACGGTGCATGTACTACAAAAAAAAATAGAGGTCAGTAACACGGGTGTTTCACAATAGCCCGCCTCCAACAGTTTGCAACGCGTTGGCCAACCAAAATGTGCGAAATCTGTTGACCCAAAGAGGTTTAGAAAGTTCGACCCATAGAGATTACTGCGATCTCTATGGGGTCGACAGATTTCGTGCGTTGTGATTGTAGAATGCGTTGCAAACTCTTTGAGGCGCACTATTATGAATCAGCTGTCTTGCATCTGGACCACATCATTTGTGGCTAATCATGATCGTGTTACGTATTTCTAGTGGTGTATTCCAGACAGAAACATAGAAGTAATTCTCTTAGGTCTCAATTTGTTAAGCGTTGTTAATTTATACATCGAATTGTTAATTACCAGAGTCGGTCCATGCACTGGTCAGTGCGGACGCAGAGAATCATTTTCCACCTAGAGGTGTGCATTCACAACCAGTACCAGTTGTACGTTTTATGTGCTCATAAAATTAGCATCGAAACGGTTGCAAGAAATCATAACTAAGAAAGACTCAGGTTCAGCGGTTCATTTACAGCCAGTAGGCCTACTCTTTATACATACAGGCCTATTCAGGATGACGAGACTTAAATAATAGCAAAAGGCAACGACTGACATTAAAATTTACGTCTTCTTGACGCAAAATTCAGTGAAAGGAAATTCTGCGATTAAAAGGTATGCTTTTGTTGACCTACCATGCCAATTCATAGGACTAACACGGAGAAAATCTCCCCTGCAGTGAGGTAATTAACTGCAAATTAACTTCTGGGCCCAAGAAATGAAAGGTGTCTACCAAGCTTAATCAAGAACTAAAACGCTAGTGATGCCCGTAGTTTAGGGTTAGTTTCCAAGATGGTCAAACGATCATCGACCGGATGCAAGATGTCAGAACACAGAGAGTCGTAGATGACACAGTTTGTGAAGTCATTCGACAAAATCAATCATAACTGTGTCTTAAAACTCGGAATATCTTCGTTTGAAATGGTTTTAGGTAGTCGTACCATTTTCCGAAGCTAAACTTGTAGGCCTACTTCAATTTGATATCATTTACGGTCAGCCACTTTGTTGAAGTTAAGATGTTTCATTTCTTAGTTATAAGGAACAGATGAATCAAATGCTGGGTACTGAAGCTGTCAAGCTAGTGAGCAAATACCCGTCTTGAGCGGAAGCACCCCCTCATCAGTTAAACAGAGCCAGGGTTGGTTGGGGCTGTTCAATCAAGCGCCATCTTACTGGAGGCGACGCGTGCGGGACGCATGCATGTCACATTCGTTCGTGAACTAGCGAAATACAGTTCCCACCAAACGAGCCACCGATTGCCAGAGTTGCTTTTAGAGAGAGTCGCGACATTTCTCAATTGCTGGAACCAAAATGTTGGATTGTGCGTCAGTGCACATGGACAGTTGACACACAGTAGCTGCATACATGCAATGCATCCCTTAAATGTTTGCATTGGAGCTCTCCATACGGCCATTGCTCATTTCTTTTTATGTAAACGACATGCCTGGCTCTGTTATCGATGGAGTAATTGATACGGATGATTATGATACTACATTAACTGCATGTGGTGTGGATGCTCGTGAAGTGGAAGAGAAATTGTTGAATGGAATGACTCGAGTTATGAACTGGATAAAAGCATAAGTTATGAACTGGATAACAGCAAATCGCCTTTGAATTAACCTTGACAAGACAGTCATTATGTTAATTGGTTCCAGGGCTAGGGTATTGGTAATTTTAATGTTGATGGTTATGACTTAAACGAGTCAATGTTACCAAGTGCCTTAGATAAAGAATTAAGCTGGAATGAGCAAGTAGGGAGAATTTCGACATCTGTACAGGCTAAGCTTTGTATGTCTGACGGGTCAGACCACATGTTTCCACAAACTTGTTAGTTGCTTTTATATAACTCATTTGCTGAATCTCATTTGATAATTGTGTCCAGATTTGGCCAGATTCCAGATGCGAACTAACAAACTTGAACAACTTCAGAAATGGGCTGCAGGAATCCTATTGGGTAGGTCATACAATCATCCGCCCACCGAAATATTTCGGTGGGCGGATGATTGAATGCCTTTAAATGGATGCCTTTAAATCAGAGATTTGCCTATTATCGTGCTGTAGTAATGCACAAAAAGTGCGAGCAATTTAGCCACGGTCTAGTTGAAGGATAACTTAATTAGATTAGATCAGGTTCACAACCAGAACACATGGCATGCTTTAATTTTATTGGTGTTTTCAAAGCTCAAGACAGAATGTCTAAGAAAAGACCCCTTTTGACTGGAATTTCTGAGTGAAATAACCTGGACCAGTCTGTGAAATCAGCACCTTCACCTGGCAGTTCTAAATCATCACTGAAATCAGTCACCCGAGAGTCTTGGTGGTGAAATAAGACGTTTTTTTTCTCTTCTTATATGTTTTGTATTCCGGTATTTTAAAGCTCTGTTTTTGAACCATGCCCTTGGAAATCTGTGTGTTTTATTATGTGCAATTTGTATGTATTATGCTTATTTACAGTAATTTTTTATTTTTAAATAATTTTTTGTTCACTCGATTTAAGTTTTTTTTATGTTCTTACGTCAGGGCCCCATGGGAGCCACCTTGTGTTGAACAGGTTACCATGGATAAATATAAGAAATAAATGTAATAAATAAATAAATGATGTACTGCACACATAATGTACAGCCATTTTGGTTCAAAGTCTGAAGTTGGCACTATTCTCTCTATAAACAGCTCTTTTGGTTGCCTGACGAAGCACAGGTTTATCTCGAGTGTTCGTCGATACCTTCGCCTGTTAAATTTATTGTTCCGAAAGAAAATTTGCCCCAAAAATCCACACGGACAACTGAAATTGATTTCTTAATGTATTCTTATTGCAAAATGAATAACCTATTGAATTACAATCACGAGTGAAAGGATGTAAAGTTGGGCGAACTGAAATTCAGAAACAGCTTTGACATGAAACAACCATGTGTCAAAACGCTATCTTGGATGATTGGATGATAAATCATATGCGGGCAACTTAGAAAAGGTACACACTGCCCAATGTAATAGCTCAGTTCCCATTGAGAATTGCTGATCCATGCTTGACTGGCGTATATGGGGAAAGATCCAAGTCCTTCGGAGTCATTGCCAGTGACTGGTTCAGAGATGCAGAACAGCAAGATTAAAAGAAGGGATAATGTGAAGAGACGAAATGGGAAGGATTTTCAAAGCGAAGACATATTGGACAAACACTCAGCACCAGCGTGATGAGGAGAAAGGAAAAATGTCACCAACTTTTGACGATCGAAGTGCCGACAGTAATAGAGACAAAACCTCATCGCTTCTCAAATTAATCAAAGATTAACACTATATTTGTCACCCTAAATGTATAACGAAAATAAAACAAGACCAGATATAAGACTGACTATAGAAATAAGACACGCGGTACTTAATTAAAATAATAGATTATAATCACATAAAATGACTAACTTTAAGGTAACTCATTGAAACAATATTACTGGATGTTAAGCCAGGAAACTGTAAACTTACAGCGTGAATAATCCATCTTTTTGAAATACACCATCACACTAAGATCACTGGACAAGTCACAAGAATGTAACTATAGTTGTGAGCAAACTATTTTCACTTAAGAATTCTATTTTCATGGACAAACATAGCTGAGCAGCAGGAATACAGAATAGGGTACACTGAATGCCAATATCATAATAAGAACAAAAAGTAATTCCACAATAGAAAACAACAGGCAGTATGCAATATAGGCCTATATAAAGATTAAAAATGAAAAAGAAATAGAACAAAATGCCAATAAACCATACATAAAACAAACCAACAAACACCCCAACAAACCAAAAACGAATACTGCGTAGCCTATGGTCATATACCGGAATTGTTTCACCAACCTTTAAAAGTACAAAGTGTCTGTCAGCGCTAGATAGACAACCTTTTCATTAGGTCTTGGATTGCTTCTGAGGGGAGATCTCCGATTATCTAATTCCACCTCTGTGTTTGGCAAAACAACTGTGCACCAAGCCCATTGGTAAATTGCTTAAAACTAGGCATGATGTCACCTTTACTTCTGAAAGGACCAATCAAGAACTCCTTTCTACGAGTAGGGAAAGGATTTTGGTCTCAGGATTCATTGCCAGGTTCTCAAACTACCATGACAGAACTACACGCAAAATGATCAAAAAGATAGGGTCAGACGAGAACGACTGTATAGCCAAATGGAGGAAGCATGAAAATGGGAAAAAACATAAAATAGTAGTTGAGGTCTGAATATGAACCATTGCTGCGCTCAATATCGAAACAGTCACGCTCATCAACCACCTCTTCATTTCCAAAATCCTCAGTCCTTTTGAAATGGCGATCATCGTCGAAGTTTGTAACACGTTCTTTTCAACTACTTGATTAATTATCTTCTCTGAAGATGGGATTCTCGAAAGCAACTTTTTTACTTTCAGCCATGTCTTTTGGCAATTCTTCCTCGTCTTCAAAGGCGGGGTTTTCAAAGTTCATATGTTCCAGACGTCCAAATGCCGGTTCATCATCGTTTATTTCTAGCTCTAATTCTGATGCGACCTTTTCAGCTCCTTGATTTGCATCGTCAACCTCGGCCCCAGAGTCAGATTTTGAAATGTGACTCATTTCGACACGATAGTCTTCCTTACTACCCAATCTTGAAAACCATCTCTTCATCGGCAGGTTGGATTTTTTTGGACCCCGGCTGGTGTCTTCTTCATTTGATACTGCTGTCGTTTGATCTTGTTCCTCATCTTGCTCAAGTGAATACAAAGGATTAATAGCTTCATGGTCGTGCACCGCTGACACACTGGCTGTTTCCCGAGGCGATTCGATATTTGAATTGTTCTGCTCTGTGAAAACTGTAAAGCCTGGATTTTCCAAAGCGACAGCCGGTGACTGCTTAGCACGATGCCGTCTTCTCCTTGCTCTGAGGCGAAAGTAGATGGCCACACAAAGGATGGAACTGGTGAAGGAAGCGGCACCTGAACAGTAAAAGGAGTAGTCGTAGCTTTCAGTCACATCGAAGAGAAATCCTGTGGAAAAAAAACAAAAAAAAAACTATAATGAGTCCCGCAGATAACTATCATCTACGGCAAAATCTGACTGAATTGCTGCTACCACACCAGTCAGGATTGCGCCTGCGTGATGTGCTGCGGCAACGAAATGGTCATAAATAATTCCAAAAATGTCTCGTGACACCAGTAGGAATCAGATTTCCAGAGGGTTTTTTTGATGCGTCAGAGATGTAGTTTTTGCCACAAAGCGTTAAAAAGCTACCCAGCAAAACCGTTAAGTAATTAAAACTATTAATGACAAATTAAACCACCTTTCCTTTTTGACGCCAACGGAGGCAAGTTGTTGCCTTTCTGAAAACTTGGGTCGTCAAGCAAAATGGTGGACAATATTTGCAACAAATGAAAGAACTATTACAAGCCATCTCACACCCATTATCGATACTGTATTTACTCACTGATCACCTGAAAAGAAGCCGCCGGCGATTTCGCCGATTCCCCAGACACACAAGGCGATCCCAGTGGCTGCAGCTGCCTCGGCTGGGCGAATCAACTTCTGCAGCGTTATCATGACAAGACTACCACTTACTCCAGACCCCAGTCCCAACATAACGGATACGGCTGCCAGTGGGCCGAATGTGGTAAACAGTGGAACGAGGCTTATTGCTACAGTCAGCACGAGCATACCAGCGGCGAAGGACAGTGGGGCACTGACATAACGCTGGTCGACCAGCACACCTATGATAGGTCTACTAACAAGCCCAACCGTTCCCACTATGGACAGGAACAAGGAAGAGGCCTCGCTCTCAATACCCACACTTTCTGACCTGGGCACGAGGTGGACATTCATCGCAGCCCATCCATACGCCATGGTAAATGCTGCTCCACACAAAAGGATGTAACAGAGATTGTGAGCAAGGCGTCTCAGGCCGTAAGTATCGAGTAAGAATGTTACGGTGCGCTTGACGTACATCCTAACGTAACCCCAGGGCGAGTCTGGCTTTGCTTGCGTGATTGGTACGGTAACTCGACTGATGTGGTCATCAGTAACCATTATGATGAACGGATCCGCGAGGCTGTTGACCATCACTGGAAACTCTTCTTCAAAATCGGACCAGTCGTCATATTCTGTTTCGCTTTCGTCTGGTTGCGGAGAGGTAGCATTGACGTCTTCTTGTACGAGCCTAGCATTGTCATGTGTGGATGTCATTCTTAGCGCGCGTAGGTCGTCATTTACAGCATGTTTGCAGTCTTTGACGTCATCATCGCAAATGCCTGTCTCAGGATTCTCCCCAATGCCCGACGATAGTCCACCACCATTGACGTTCGATGCACTGCTTGACTGAGGTTGCTTCTCCTTCTCGGTGTTTGACAAACTGCTTTCTTGGGGTTGCTTCTCTTTCTTCTTTATAATCTTGTGACGGACAGGCCTCATGAGGGTGCCCGCGGCTAGAGCATTCAAACTGATTCCCGTGATGATGAGAAGGGCGCCCCTCCAGCCGTACTCGTTAATGAGCCAGGTGAAGAAAGGTGGTAATGCTATCTGACTTGCACTATACCCACCTTGAGTCAGTCCCACGACAAAGGCGAATCGTTTCTTGAAGTACTGTCGCAGTATGACGAAATTGGCATTGAGTTGGAAGCTGAAGCCGATGGCTACAATGTGAAGTCACAAAACCAAAGTGACAGTTAAAAAGCTTTATATCTACCCTCCGCACGTCGCTGTGCAGTGGGGTAGGGTTAAGCCGCGATGCCCCGAAATTTCTTATTAATAAAGATCGAGCGATGTTTCCCGAAATTCTATGGTAGTTACATAGATATTCCATTTTTCTCAGTTCTCCGGATAAAAACAGGTGCCTAAGTTGACTGCAGATGTTATGACTACTGCAGATTCATCGTAGAATTTAAGTAAGTAATTGTCATGAATTTTAGTTGTAAATTAATCGATAAAAAATCGATTGAAATCTGATGGCAACAAGCGTATAAATGTGAAAAATGTGTTTTGATTATAGTTGTCGACAAAAAGTAGGTGAAGATGTGAATTTCTAATTATGCCTTTGCCCTTTCAAAGACGTGTATTAAAAAAAATCTTCTCGACGCCAGAACATCTTAGCAAATAGTTTACGGTATCCACTGCTACATCTAACTTGAATGGACCGGCCAGCCGACCCCAGCAAGCCAGGTTGTCGAGCGCTGTCTAATTCCGAAAGAGTAGGCCTTCGGACAAGACTTTTTACGTTTTTTTATTTGAATAGTTTGAAGGAGAACCCCCATCTGGTGGAATTGACTTCCTCAAGTTCGTCCTGTCCTTAGTTTCAGTCCCATTGAGTGAATGTTCACTGTCTGGAGTTTACAGAGTGATTAAGTAAGTGATTAAGATGGCATCCGTTTGAACGTGTATTTTTTTCTTTAGCTTTAGCAATAAGGACACAGCATTATGAATGTACGTCGGTGTAAAGGCAAAATTACCAAAAATTACAAAAATTACTATCTTTCCAGCACAATTAAGTACATCTTTGGTATTTATGAAACAGCGCTGGTTTATATCTTTGGCGCCAGAGGGTAAAACACCATTGTCTGACGACCTGGTTTCAAGTCTAGTATGCTGGGCAATGTCGGACCGTCTGTGTATGCAGTTGCTGGTGTCGCCAATATTAATTAATCGAGATACGTCTAATTCTAGTAGCACTGTACTCTTACTCTGTTCTCTTTTAAACCATTTTAAGTTTCCCCAAATGTGCTTAAATTAATTTTTTTAAGAGTTAATGATTTAATGCATGTTAGCTACCTGCTAGTATGCCGGTTGTTCCAATCAAGAATGGTATACTTGTACCAAATGATGTCAGCAGAATTCCCGTAGCTGAGATGAGGCTACCGACCATCACGACAGTACGGGCACTGAACTTTGTGAAGAGCGCTCCCACAAAAGGACCTTTGAAATAGTCATTGAAAACGATGAAACAGCACTCCCCCAAAACTACGTAATTATAGATTTTAGGAATGCAACTTATAGTTAGCAAAACAACTGTCAAAAAGAACTGTAGGCTAAATGACGACTTACTAGCAATGCCCCTCGTAAAAGAACCAATGGAGATCACAATGCTGGTCTCTGCTGACGTACTTTCGAATTCATTCTTCCAAGACAGGAAAAAGACGCTCAGTGCAACAAGGTAACCGATGCTGCTGAAAGTCACGAAAAATGTACCGAGTAGAACCATCCATGCCCAGCCGGAATCCGGTGGCTCTGGGCCCAGTGGCTGCTCAGATTTCAGCGCTGACACACTGCGAGCTCTCGAAGACGGTAACTCGTGTTTTGGTGTTGCTTCTGTAGATACTGTTCCGTCTGTCATGCTGAAATTAGCGCTGTCAAGTATTTTAAATTGTCCTGTCAAATTAAATCCGCTAGAGAGTTATAGAAGACAAAAACGTGGGATTTTTCAAATTGTATACTCGATTTTCAAGACCACACGAACATAATTCGCATATTCGAAACTTTGAGAAAAATTCACAGTACAACAGATGGGTGACTTGACATTCCAGTGGCTATGCATCACAAATTATAATTGTGGACAATAGACTTTGCGTGCTGCCTTAAAAATAGTTAAAGGTGCAACAGTCACTCGTTTATGTCGACCAACCCACACAGTCGTTGGTGTGCTTATCTTAACGTGTCAACATGACACGATCGGACCACTTGGGTGTTGGACTTAGACCTTTTTATGGACATTTCCTTAGTCAAAGCACAACTACTGGGAGCTGGTCACCAGTCATAAAGAGTGCCAGTTTATTATATAGTGCGGATTCAAGTGAAACGAATGAACAAAAAACAACAAACAAACAACCCCCCCACAAAAAAAAAACACAGAATGAATGGAACCCAGAAGCCTGGCCTGATAAGTAAACTCAACGCATTTTAATTATTTGGTGCTCCTCCTTTAATGCACTTCCGTTGGTCGCCAGCACGGACTGATACATGGGCCGTTTTCCAATACTCAACTTCGGCTCCGTCTCAGGCTTCAACTGTTTTTTTACTACGTGACTTTGAAGCTGTAAGCGCACTACTTAGTCTAACAGTGCCACAAAACATCAAATAAGATGCAAGAGAGCCAGAAATTACAGTAATCCAATTTAATTTAAACGCTTCAGGCCCACAATCGGGGATTGGTTTTGGGAACGAAGCCTGAGACGGAGCCCAAGTCGAGTATTGGAGAAGGGCCATGTGAAAGAGTGCCAAGTTACTTACCAGGATGTAGTACTACGGAAGTGCCGATTCCAGCGCAAAATGGAAACCCTTGGGTTTTCCCAACCTTTTTTGAATCCCAAAAAATAAAAAAACACGAGAAAATCAAAAACCCTGAGTACCTACCCAACTCCTCTACCACCAGAAATTACATTTTACAAAAATTCCCCCAAATGGCATTAAAAACCAAAGTTCCACAAAACCTAAGCAATTCCAAAAATTGCGCAGAACCCGAAATAAATTTAACGCTTCTACCTCAAAGAGCAGAAGCGTCAATACAAATGAAATAAAATTTTGATTTATTACATTAAAGTAGTTAATACGAATAAGAATGCGATGGAATCAAAACTCGTTCGCTAATACTAGATTACATTATAGACACAGTCCCCATGGCTATAATTCATGGAACAAATCATTGCTATCGAAGTATATCGCTAATCACAATATTACGTTGCCTCAACTGCGCCGTCCTTCGGTGCTATACAAGCGCAAGGAATTAATACAAGCAGTGAGAAATTATACCAAAAAAATCCAAATTTATATCGTAAATCGATTAGCGAGTTACGGCAAGTGGCAGATGACAATAATTTACGTCCAATTGCTACAGGTAGGCAAGGGCCAATCTTGAAAAAAAGCTGTTATCAATCCAGAATTAATTCGCGAATGAGACAGTCGTACGCGATGTTAAAAGATTCCAAGGCAACTACCGAAATTGGGAATTAACACCGGGCTTCAATTTTTTTATTATGCACAAGAAAGACATCGAATAGTTGGCATTGAAACAATTAAAGGAAATAGGTACATACAGATTACAAACGGCGACTAAAGTCCGTTTTAAAAAGGAACGGCCAGAGCAGAAAGATTTTGTTAGAGCCGAATTTACTTTTTTTTGTCAAAGATCTAAACGGTGTATTTTGAATCAGATGTTAAAAACGGGTTGGAAGGACAAAAACAAAATCTTTTAGATAGAATTGATAAATATGTCCACGGTGGATCTGGTTGCATACTCAACGAAATTATCGCGTTCTTTGTTAGCGTGATACGATATGATACTAAAGGTGGAACATAATATCAAGCTACCCGGATATATTGAACATAGTTGAGCCATTGTAAACGTTAAAAACAAAAACTGCGAATGCATACGTTGGGCAATATGTACGGCTCTAGGATTATATTCCGACAAAGTCAAACGTAGAATTGAAAAGGACCCAAGTTATAGAATAGAACGTGCTAGACCAACAAAGTATAACCCCAACAAGTTGGATTTCACCGGCATAGACTGTCATACGCCAAAGAATCAAATTCCCAAAATCGAAGCGCAAAACAATTTGTCTATTAATTTATATGGCTATGAAAGAAGGCAAGGCACGTTTCTGACTTTCTATCTATCTAAAAATATTATAAAAGATAGACATATGGATAAGTTGTTATTTGATAATGGGTATATTCAACATTATTTGCTGGATTAAAAATAATCGAGACTCATTTCAAACTTAGTGAGTAGTCACGGTCATGCTATTTACGAATGCCGTAAATGTCAATCTAACTTCAAAAGCAGTCTAAGATTAGCTAAACACCAAGAAGATTGCCTCGGACTTGACGTCCCAATCACTTATGTAGTTCTACCGCCAGAAGACGATAATAATATTAAAATTCTGGTTCAGAGATTACAAAAATAAACAATTAGCGCCGTTTGTCATTTATGCTGATTTTGAATCTATTTTAGAACCCATGCCCCCAGAAGAAGGCAGTACGATTAGAACGCATCGACATATCTCTTCGGGCTATGCCTATTTCATAATTCGCAGTGACGGCGTTTGCATAAAACAGCAAACTTATAGAGGGCCCAACGCAGCAAATTCGTTTGTTAGATCTTTACTGCTAGACAAACAGGCAATAAACAAAATATTTGAAAAACCAAAAATAATCCAATGGGACTTGGAATTATCTAAACAGCACCAAGCTAATAATACATGTTGATTTGCGGCAAGCCTATTTGGCCCACAAAGTCAGACGAATGTTATTGCCTAAAACTAACTGAAGAAGAATATCATCGAGCTCAAGAAATATTTCACAAGTTCAAATGTAAAAACTTAGGCGATTATCACGATTTATATGTAACAAAACGGACGCGTTGTTATTGGCTTGCGTCTTTGAAAATTTCCGCAAAGTCAGTTGTAAAAATTACGGGTTAGATCCAGCCAATTTTATACGGCGCCTAGCTTAGCCTGGTGTGCCTTGTTGAAATATTCAAAAGTAGAACTCGTACTACTGACAGACGTCGACATGCATTTGTTCTTTGAATGTGCCAGACGTGGCGGCATTTCTTCTGTGGGAGCTAAACGTTGTGCTAAAGCAAATAATAAATATTTGCCAGATTACCAGTCAATCGAGCCTTCGACTTACATTATCAATTTCGATAAAAATAATCTTTATGGCTGGGCAATGTCACAACCTATGCCTATAGGCAGATTTAAATGGGTCAAAAATCTACAGAAATTTACACCTGAATACATTTTAAACTTGAAATCTTATGGACCTACTGGCTACATGTTTGAAGTCTCATTGGATTATCCCAGACATTTGCAAGATGAACACAATGACTTCCTTTGGGCTCCTGAGAACATTCCGATCCCAAACGAATGGTAATCACCGTATCAAAAACACTTGATTGATCTAAACGGCGAAAAAAATCGCCTCGGTAAATAAACTCGTAGCCACTTTAGGTACAAAAGAAAAATATAAATTACATTATCGAAATTTGCAATTATATTTACAACTGGGTTTAGAACTGAAACAAGTCCGTCGGGTTTTGTCTTTTAAGCAACAAGCATGGGTGAAAGACTACATTGATAAAAACATCCAATTGCGCAAACAGGCCAAACAGGTCTGATTTTGAAAAAGACTTCTTCAAATTGATGAATTATTCGATATTTGGCAAATCGATGGAAGATACGCGAACCCACATCGACGGTCATTTGCTTCGGGACGAAGACCCAAATAGATTTAGGAAGCTGTCTTCATTGTCAAATTTCAAGACGGTAATTGCGTTTCCTGATTGTGATGTTTCGTTTGTCGAAATGTTTAAAGACAAGACCCTGTTGAATAAGCCTATCTATCGCGGTGTCTGCATTTTAGATTTATCAAAAATTCAAATGTATGAATTTTATTACAAGTGGAAACATCATTTTGGAGATAAATTAAAGTTGATCTACACTGATACCGATTCTTTATTGTTAGAAATTGAAACCGACAACATATATGAACATATCCATCAAAATAAACAAGAATTGGATTTGTCTAACTACCCACTGATCATCCAATTTACTATCCAACCAATAAGAAAGTCATCTGTAAAATGAAAGATGAATTTAGCGGCCAGCCGATATTAGAAGCCATCTGCATTAGACCAAAAATGTATTCTATTTCAACAGAAGCCGTAAATTTAAAGAAAGCAAAAGGCGTTACCAAAGTCGTAACGAAGAATCAGTTGTCGCACGAAGCTTATAAAGACTGTCTGTTCAATCAGCACCAAAACTATTTTAAACAACAGTTGTTTAGATTCGACAAGCATAAATTATTTACGCTATGTCAAAATAAACTGAGCTTGTCACCGTTGGACACAAAACGTTACTTACTACCCAATGGGATAGATACTTTAGCCTATGTTCTTTACCGAATATCAGAAGAAGGCGGTAATTCAGTGTCTGTTGCCACCAGTGGAAGCTCTTCTCTCACGAAACTCCGCTTGGGTACCTCAAGTAAATAATATAAAGTAGGACCTGTTTTAACCTTTTTACTGTTGACCCACTTGATAAGCGTCGACACTCCAAACGGGATCGGTTGCCCTTCTGACGGTACCGCCCTCCTGTTCACCGGGGTAATAAAGGTACCGCACAACAGCGTTTGGAGGAAGTTCTTGCCGTTTGCGTTCTCATGGGGGTGCAGATGGCTTTTGTTTTACTAGGTCCAACTTGACGGCTTCCGCGGGCTCTTTGTTGATAAACCTAGTTTTGTCTTCGTTAAGCGATTTTATGACATGGAGCAATATTGTGACCCGCTCCACGTTTCGCACGCCAACATTTAACGTTTCTTGCGCGCATTGATGCC